GGGGGATCTTGGAATGTTTTGAGAGCGTGTCGCATCACATGTTAAAATGTGAGAATTAACAGCAAATCCATCCATTTTTGATGATGGAAAAAATTAACCACCTTTAACCTACGGCAAGCAGTATCGGTTACAAATGTGGTCTGTTAGGAGCAATCCATTCGTCCATTTATGAAAAACAAAACAAATTCGTTCACGTTCAACCTACTGCGAGCAGCATCGGTTATAATTGTGGTCTTGTTTCCTCATGCCAATTTTGTTAGCTAAGAAATGTTTTTTGCACAGAAACTGGGGGCTTGGAGTGGTGTTTGAGTACCTAGTGATGGTTGTTGGGGAGTTGGCTGGTATGCACAACCACACACACACACATATATATATATATATATATATATATATATATATATATATATATATATATATATATATATATATATATATATATATATATATATATATATATATATATATATATATATATATATATATATATATATATATATATACACACATATATATATATACACACACACACATACATATAAACACACACAGAAACATATATATATATATACATACATATAAACATAAACACACACACATATATATATACACAAACACACACAAAATACATGTCTGCAGGCCCACGTGTGAATGCACACATCCGCTTTTACATACACACACAGATGGATATATACACATCCGCGTATACACCCACACGGGAATGCATGCAGACGCGTTTGCATACACACATAGATAAAAAAAAGATCACAGTGTGGGACGATAGCTGCTTGAAATATTGATTATTGAAGAAGCCTGGTGAAATTCTTTTAAATGACACCCAAAAAAAGTCACCTTCGCATTCACTGGCTGTGAACTCCGGCTTAAAGTTCTGGTTTTTCATCCTCTTCTGAAATTTGATCTTCTTCTAGAATTTTGAGTTTTTGCGCAAACATCCGTTTTACAGTTCTGGTTTATTTGATGCAGACTATTGGTTTCTAGCATCTCAGCCAGATGCACTCTGACTTCAAAAGAAATACCTCCAGTTAGTAACATCTTACGGCTTGCTTATTAGATGGTCAGTGGGTCTGTTCTTTCTTCCTTCCAGATTGAAGTCCCGGATCCCACTCAGGGTAATAAATGGACTAGTCATCATCATCATGTTTAGCTTTTACTGTTACTCAGTGCATTGATGAACTGTCTGTGATCGAGTGCTCGATGAGTAACCCTGGCTATAGTCGTTCCATGTAGATGTACAGTGTTTTAAGTGTTATCATTTCATATGTTTAAGTGTGGCTCCTGTTAGTAATTGTCGTGACTGCATTCTAATGAGGTGACCAAACCATTTGATCTTCTGCTTCTCAAATAATTTGGTGCAAAGTATTCTTCCCACAGTCAGGCTCACAGTATCTTGAGTGGTTACCAACACACCATAACTTCATTGGTTAGACCAGGGGCTGTCAACCTTTCTAATGCCACGACCCTTTAATACAGCTTCCTCATGTTCTGACTCCCCGCACCCGACAATTATTTTCCTTCACAACTTCAATGAATGAACAAACAAAAAAGTAGCGGCCGGCAGGTTGAGAACCGCTGGGTTTGACCAATACCAATCGTCTTCATACCGGGGTGGGGGTGGGGGGGGGGGGGTAAAGAAGTTCCAAGGAGGGCGTAAAACAAATTTTGAAAATGAGTTCATCTGTACTTGAAATAATCCGTTTTATTAAAATTTTAAAGAATTTCATGATTTAAAAAAATATTTGTAAAGAATACATGTATTTACAAAGCAAAAAGCCAAGGACTTTTTTTTAATGAGGATTTTGTACATATAATGCGAGAAGTCATAATTTAATATGATAACACTGGCAGTTAATTAAAGATACACACCACCCTTTCCCTCCCCCCCCCCCTTTTTTTTTTTAATCTTATTTTTTGTTGCAGGAGGCTGAGGGAATCTTGGGGGTGGGGTCGTGAGGTTCTGCCAAATACTCAAAAGGGGGTGGGGGCGTATGGGTCTAGCCATATACTCAAGGGAGCGCCACCTGAAAAAAAGGCCAAGCAACGTCTGCTGTATTACGTTTTCTGTTTGCCTTGGTACGTGGACCTCGGACCTCATAACCATGTAATATCGCCCCGGGGTTCTGCAATGCCTTCAGTGTGTATACAAGCAAGATTGCAGAATTTGAATCTTCAGGTTTTGGAAGGATTGACATTTGCATATAATTCTTGCATATAAGCAGATAGGTGCTGTAATGAACTCAGAAAAGATGGCTGTTATATGGTGCTGTCAGTGCAATCAATATAATTGTAAAAGCTAGTATTCCAAACCTCACAATTAATGAAACATAAAACGAGAAAGCAAACCGAGGTACCTGGATATTATTTCGACATAAGCCTGTCCTTCAGAAATCATGTAAAGGGAGTCCAAAACGACTCAGCGCACTCAAGATTATGGCAGTAGTGGACGCGGAACAAAGAATGAAGCCTTGCGGATAATTCTGGATGTACAAGAGACATCTCCCTAGTATGTATGCGATATATATACGTGCACTGCCTACTATTCCAGAAAAGTCTCAACCTTCTGCAAGCAAAGTCATATCTCAGAGTAGCTGCAGATAAGAAGCACCTTCTGCATGAAGCCCTAGGCAACGCTAAGGGTCACAGACTGAAAACAGAAAGGTCACGGATGGCGCAAGGTGAAGACACAATTAGATATGTGCAGGCTTGATAAATTTGGGCGAGGAAAGGAGCGGGTAAAAGTAACCGAGCAAGAATCACACTTATGAAGGGTTCTAATCATTTTAGGTCGTGGGTGCAAGGATTAGCCAGCTGGTGCTGCAGAACTGGAAGTTCAACAAATGATTCATGATAATTCCTGCCCAGTTGATGGGATTATCTCTACAGATGGCTATGTGTTGAGAGGTAAACGAAGTGCATGGGGATTTATACTAAAGAAAATGGACGTCGCTTTGTACAAAAAGCCTGGCATAGCATGGGCATTTGCACCTCGCTCTTCAGGCAGAAGAGTTCAAGAAGCCAGCGGTGCCTTCTCCGTGACTACCAGCAGCATGACGATGGCGGTGACACAAGCTTTCGTGTGGCTAGAATCACAGGACTATTCCCGCGTGTGTGTGCTGAGTGACTCAGGCTGGTTATGCAGACAGTGGTTTGAGTCTTTGCAAAACTCTCCTGTGTGTGCAGTTATCTGTCAGACGTTGTTATTAATGATAGAGCTGGCAGGGGCTGCATTAATTGAAGATGGCCGGCCCATGGACCACGCAGACGTTGTCATTGCCCTTAATGAGATAGGACGTTCTAAGGATTTTATAAGCAACGTGTCCACATCAGTTAAGAATACGAAAATTGGGAGTAAATCACAGCCAAGCATGAGAAGCACACCGAACGCACACGAAGTTTTGTTAACCAACATAGGACTGGCACTATTAACCGCGCGAATCTGATGAATATGTTGAGAGGGGAATCTGAGCACCTATGGATGTGTCCGGAGTGCTATGAAGATAACCTAACTCATAACTCATCACAACGTCAAGTTTAAGAGTGGAGGCATTATTTATACTACCGTATGGAAAGACGGAAATGTGCCAATCAGTCAGTGGCGGTGGCGGTCACTGCTGCCTTCCGCTGGATTGAGAATCAGCTGTGCACGCATGTCTGATTGCAACTGTCTCACAGAGCATGTTGAGAAAGGTGGAAACATGCATGCTCCGAGAAGAGTGGCAAACATAGTTTCAGAGGTCCTGGGTAGCTAGTGTCCTATGGAAATTTTTTCCAGGTCACACTGGTGTGTTGGGAAACGAGCAGAAAGATAGACTGTAGCTGGTTTTGCACCACGTGATGGTGAACCGATGTATGACTAGCTAGATGTTTAGAGGGCCCTTAGGAAGCGAGTAAACAGTGCGGAGGCACCAACAGATCATTGCGGTCTGAGGATAATGGAGCTGCGTTGAGTTACCGGGGTGATCTGAGCGACGCTGAGCACTCAAGGGAAAGGTCAGACGGATACACCATCAGGCAGTTACTAATACTATCGGAATTGAAACTCTTCACCTGCTGCTGAAGATGGGGGCAGGGAGCTTCTGTTAGTGTCCCGAGTGCTGTGACGTCGATTCTTAATTTACCATTCGGGGTCCTATTGGAGCAGTAATGCACAATATAAGACAATGTTTATTAGCCTCTCTTGCTCAAGTCTACTTCATCTTCACGCAGTGGACCCTGTTCTTCGTAGCAATCTTGTGTAAGGTTGGGGTCTGTCTCCAGCGAGACACAGAATGGGATAACAAATGAGGTAAAGGCAAAGGTATGAGCCCATCCTACCCCCCCCCCCCCCACCCCCTCTCAAAATATCCTGAAGTCCGAAATACTGGGTCAGGGTTTGGATTAAAAACTACAGTACTACGCAACCCCTGCTTTAAACGAGTATGTATTGTGTTTGATTACAAAACGTGTATGTCGGTGTAAATCATAAAGCGAACACAAGAAGAAGAAGAATTCAATATTCTGACTCGTGCACGATTATGTGACCTGGAAGTGACACTTGCAGACTCATGACTGTGCCGTTTTCGAAGTTAGGGTAGAAGACATTATAACTATAACTATCTTCTCATGGCAATAACCAGTAACAATACTACTGCATTGGAGAAATGAGCCCATTTGGGAATGCCTAATGTGCAATGATGTCGATTGTGATAGTAAAACAATCTCACTTACAAAAATTTCTCTAAAGGAAAGCAGTGATGTCCATGGTCTGTAGACAGACATCATATGTACTTCTGCCTATTCTGCCCTCAGTCCTGGCGCTGTACTTGATGGACTATAAAGTTATGAACTATAATATAAAAAAAAGAATCCCCGCGATTTTGTGACAACTTCTTGGGGAAGGCGGGGTTTCCGGTTTGTGGCCGACGTATTGACAAACAGTTCCACAGACTGCCTGGTATTTCAAACCTGGTTTGTTTCACAGACATTGGCGCTGCAACTTTAGTAACATGGATAAGTTGAAAAGCGTTTTCAGTGGGGATAGTGAACAGGAAAACAAAACTATTGTTACACAGGTTAGTGTTTTTGAGAAGTTTGTGTGCATAATGAGTAGCCGTGTGTTGTGTAAGTGGGTGGTGGTTGAACTTACAAACAGCATCGCACAAAGCACGAACTCAAGCTGCAATAAAAACTGCACTATGAATGATGCATCCCTTAAAATGCACCTTTAGCCATAGAGTGCGAGACAAACAGCTTGCCCACTTCGCCACAGAGATCCCCGAAACTAACATTCTTCTGCCGTTTAATTAATCTCCTTCCGTGTGGAGCATAGGTACCAGGTTATTCAGCTAAGCTTACCCAGGGGTCCTTTTGCGGAAAGTCATGGTGTTAAGCCTAAGCTCCTTCATAGAAAGATCATTAATACAACAAAACATATAACAGTAATCCGCAAGTCACTTGTTAGACCTCAGCGGGTCAGATTTGGTCCGCGGGTCCCAAGTTGAATAACCCTGTCCTAAACCAACTCATGCTAAATCAGTAAATCATATTTACCTTTTTATTATGGTGTTTTACTGGATAGTATCGGCCAGTGGTCAACAAAATCATTAGTCAGAAGAGCCAAAAATCGGCAGCAGGACAGTTACAATTTTTGTGAGAGCCAGATTCCTTTTCAAGAATCTGTCGAGAACCATGTTTTCCTTTGCTTACCTACTTAGTCGCTCCTCTTCTACCTTGGGGTGTAGAGGTTTGCCAGAGAGATCGCCAGGCGTCTCTATCAGCAAGTTTCTTTCTAGCTTTGTTCCTTTCCAGTCCTCTGTCAGTTATTGACTGTCAGATGTTGTCTTCCCAGCGCACCCTGGGCCGCCCTGGAGGTCTGGTTCCCTGGTTCATAGCCTGCCATGGTGGCCGATTTTCTTCCATTCTGCATACATGTCCAAACCATCTTAACTGTGATTGATCCATTCAAGTTTATAAGGCCTGGATTTCAAGATCTTGATGCAAACTTTGTCCCTTCTTGTCACTTGGACCACCTTTCTCAAATATCTCATTTCTAAGGTCTGAAGCTGGCTTCCAAGGGCTGTTGTCATGGCCCATGATTCATACCGGTAGGTCAGGACTGGTGCATAGGTAGAGCGGTAAACAGCCATTTTCGTCCTCTTGCTGATTTCATTTTTGCTAAGAAACCCTCGGTTATTGAACTGGAAAAGTCTCCCAGCTGCTGCTTTTCGAGTAGCCAGCTCTGTCTTAATGCTTCCATTTTGGTCTAATACAACTCCCAGGTATTTGAACTGGTTGACCTGCTCCAATGCATGCTGTCCCAACATGATCTGGTGTTTCTTCTCCTCTCTGAAGAACTATGTTTTTTTGGAGTAAAACCGATCTGTGGCAGACTGAGAGAGCCACACTCTGGTCGCTAAAGAGCCACGTGTGGCTTGCAAGGTGCCATTTGCTGAACATTGATATAGGCAATCCCATTCCCAACCATACCCTTAGTTGCCTCAGACATATGCATGATGGGTACAGTGACACTGTTACTGTTGTTTGCTTCTTGATAACTCAAGATTAACTAATAGTTAGTCTAGACTAGATATTTTTGTAAAGATGCTGTTTTCATTTTTGATCATTCAGTACTGAGGAGGTCATCATGTGTTTACTCATTTCTGCACACTCTTTATATCCAGACAATGGTTTTGATAAGACTGTAACGTCTTTTAATGTTTTAAAAGATCATTAAGTCTTTTTTTCTTGTTCTGCCCTTCATCCCACAATGAAGCATAGGCCCGCAGCCAACTCACACCAAATCATCCTATCCTTTGCTACCGCATGCAGCTCACATCATGCCTGCCCCCTCCACACCCCGCATCTTATTAACTCTTTCAGAACGATGTGGGGAAGGGGGCAGGGGTTTTTCAACTTTCTACTGCAACATGACAAAGCTAAAATCTTTGTGAAGAAGAAGTATTGCATGTATAATACATATAATATATCAAATTAAAGAGAAATTAATGCAGTATACATCTAAACCATTTAAATGTCAGTATTACAACAACAAAATTTACATTATTAAAATTATACAACATTCAAGGATGTAGACACATAAAGATTTTTTGCACCTGAAGTTTTGTACTTACCTGACTTTTTTTTTTTACTTGATCGGCAACACTGATATCAATTTCTAAGAATGCATATGCCTTTGCTATTCACTTCTGCATCAGCAAGTCTGTATTTGAAACAGTTAATCTAAATACTTTAGTTTTTATGACAATTTGTTAATGATATGTCAGATTTCACAACAACCGAATTCTGAACACAGCTGATCAGAATAGGGGTTATCCAATTCAAATATTTTGTTTCAACTTAATCCTAACCAATATTATCAGCAGTTGGTTTGGCATTTGCATTATTATTCATAATATCAAGACTGTTGTCACTATCTGGCTGAGATTCACCAATGACTGCAGCAGTATGGACAGTTCTAGACCTCTACCCTTATCATTTGGTCTGAATGATCACATAAATATCACACTAAATTAATTCAAAACAAATCAAATATTTAAACCTGTTTCTTCACAATGCTTCCTTTCGCTAATTCTAGTTTTTTAAACATATTCATACAAATTCATTTCCCTAGCAAATGAAATAGTATTAGAGTGCCTATACACAGTGTCACTTAAGTCGCAATCCCTCCAAATGTGATGGATTCCAAAGTCACTTAAGTGACAATCCCTCCAAATGTGATGGACTCAGAAGCCACTAAAGTGGGGATACATCTTCAAAAAGTTAACTTCACTCTTTAATTCTCTTCTCCAGATGTGTATGAGTCTTTTTTTTTTTTTTGTGTTTTTTTTTTCGGTCGGGGGAGGGGGGTCCTGACTTTATTTCTATGCCCCTGTGAATTCCGCTCTAAAGACATTCTAGCTATATTGTTCTCAGATTTTTCTTGTTATTTCCTATCCAATGTCAGTGTCTTTTCTTCATCTCTTGATTCACTGGAACTTGTTTAGTTCTCTCCCTATGCTCAACATTAGTGATTCTATAAGACCATTTATTTCACTCTAGTCTGTGCTCAGAATATTTTGCTTGCCTTTTTTTTTTTTTTCAAGAGCTCTCTTTTTTTTTTCCCCATCCTCTCAGTATTTCTGTATTTGATTGTTTTTGTTTGTTTTAACATGAAATATGACCGTTTCTTCTCACACTGTATAAGTATTACGTTTCATATAAAGTGAGTCAATTTAATGCAGAAGGCGTAGCAGTAGTTTTCATTGTAAGCAAAGTTCAGAGTGGAAGATTTGAATGTATTCTTTTATATATTTATTCTTCTGTTTCTTGTTCAGATCAGTGATGCCACAACCTTGAGCTGGTCGACCAGAATCAAGGGATTTCTGGTGTGTTTTGTTCTAGGGGCAGGCCTCTCCATCTTGGTTAGTTACCCTCTGTTTGATTATAGTTTATTTTTTCCTTTCTTGCAGTAGTTCTGTTTATCTTTTTTCTTTCTTTTCCTTCTTTTCTGCATGTTTGTCTTTTTTTTCTGCTTTATTCTTTCTTTCTGCCTCACTCCCTGTCTTTCTCTGTCTCCCCCCCCCCCCAATCCACCCATCCTTGCTTTCTTCTCTTCATCTCTTTTTGCCTGTTTTTCTGTTTCATTCTTTATTTTTATTTCAATGGTATTTCTGTATTTTTCTAGTCTTTGTTAATTTTGTTTATTTTAATAAACTGGTTTTTTCATATATTTTTTTTTATTCATTTCACATTTATTATTCTCACACATTCTTTCTTGCTGTATCTATTCTAATTTCCTAATTCATACAACCTACATGTTTGTCTTTTTTTTTTCTGCTTTATTCTTTCTTTCTGCCTCACTCCCTGTCTTTCTCTGTCTCCCTCCCCCCACCCCACCCATCCTTGCTTTCTTCTCTTCATCTCTTTTTGTCTGTTTTTATGTTTCATTCTTTATTTTTATTTCAATGGTCTTTCTGTATTTTTTTAGTCTTTGTTATGTTTGTTTATTTTAATAAACTGGTTTCTTGCTGTATCTATTCTTATTTCCCAATTCGTACAACCTTACACTTGTTGTTTTATCTAACTCCCAGTATAAGTTCTGGAGTCTTATTGCGGAAGAAAGAAAAGGATAGACCTTCTCCCAAGAGCATGTCATAAAAGTAGAGTAATTGGGGGATGTTTCCTTTATAGTGAAAGTGCCTCTCATTGAGAGGTGATGGCCCAGAAATCTGCTTACAAATAAGCCAGATCTCTGTTAAAAAAAAATTATGCATGCAAAACTTAAGTTCTGGAACAAGCCTACAGTCCAGAAATGGATTAACAACCAGAACTTTCCACTGGAATTTACAGCTGGTGAACGCCAAGAAGCGAAAGTGTAATCTTCATCATATCTTCCATCATAATTTGTTTGCAAATGGTCTTCAGAATGTCTGTCTTGTTGAAAATGAGTTTTCCTATTGCTGTAGCTTTTATAAAACAACAACAACAACATCTGCTTCGTCCTTGTCTTTCACTCCTACCTCTCCTGGACAGTACATCTACATTGCTCCCTGTTATGTTAATATGCTGATGATTGGTATCCTCTCCTGTCACACATATCCATTTTGAACTTTCCACAATATCAGTAAGGAGCCAGACACTGTGAAGTTTATTATTAATCTCTTTAATTATTTCCTTCTTCACTTCAGTGATAACTCACTTCACTTCAGGGCGCTATAACTATATTATTATAAATCTCTTTAATTATTTCTTTCTTCCCTTCACTGATAACTTACTTCACTTCAGGGCGCTATAACTCTTTTCCCCGGGTAGATGGAACCCGTTAGCTTTGGACAGCAGTCCATCTAGGAGACGGAAAACTCCAAATTTAAACCCTCACGTTCAAGGTGGACCAACGTGCTGAGGAACTGGATGGCCACGGGTGAGCTGGTCATGAACGTTGGACGTCTGGTTGGCGTGCGGGGCGGCACCAGGCGTATGGACTCCTACGGGACATCCATTGCACCTTCCCTAGCAAGCAGGCAATACTAGGGTGACCGGTCATTTCCTGCAGTACTCTATTTTTTTCGTATGGATTTTAAAAATATACATAGGAATCGTCGCCAGAGCTACAAGGCACGTGCTCTGAGCTTGACACATTATTCAGCAATTAGTGAGGAGGAGACGACAAGGGAATGGGGAGAGAAGAAGGCATAGAAATAGGATGGCATGTGCTAGGAGAACAAGACGAAAAGCGGAGAGATTGAGCTTTAATCATGTAAGAGTAGGATACTGGAACTGTCAGTGCTAGGCAGAGAGGTCCTGTACTGGAGAGTTTGATTTTTGATTTTGATGTTATCATGCTCCAGGAGCTAAATACAGACAGATTTCATTGCCCTTGGTACGTCAGTTATATAAACCCTGTTGGACAGGAGAGACATGGATAAGTTCTGGTGGTGAAGGAGGGAGTGAAGCATGTGGTGCTTGACTTGAGCCAGTGGAACCACAGTGGAAGAGAGGTTCAAGGGATACAGGTGGAGATTAGTGGCTTAAGTTGGAACCTCATAAATATATATATGCCACGGTAGACTGTTTTGTCAGAAGTGAACAATGGGGCTGGCTCAAGGAATTGGAGGAGTTACCAGGTGATAGGTTACTCATATGTGGGGATTTCAACGTGAGGAACAGAGAATGGGACAGCAGTGGAGAAAACCGACAGGGAATTGCTCTTGCAGAGGCCATGGTTGACTCCGATATGATCTGCATCAATGATGGGAGGCCGACTAGAATGGCATTGAGGTCTGGAGATGCAGACACAGCCATTGACTTGACATTTGTCTCCCATTCGTCGGTTGATGTTAAATGGACTGTCCTGAGTTACCATGGGAGTGATCACCTACCATGTTCAGTCTTGATTTCTAAACTCAATAAGGTTAAGGTTGGGAGAGCACGCAAGACCTTCCGGTATAAGTGGACCAACAACCTACCTGGACGCCTCAGACAGGGAGCATGCAACAGAACTGCCAGAACTAATTTTCTACAGCCACCATGGTGGACTCTAGAAGTAGAACAGGCATGGAAGGCAAAGAGAGCCGCAGTGAAGCAGCTAAAGAAAGTACGACAGACACCCTCAAGCTCACGAGAGGAAGTGGAGATCGCGGAGAATGTGAAAAAAGATAAGGTGGAGGTTTTCAAGTGCTGTGCTGCAGAGGCCAAAAGAGCAAAGTGGGAAACTTTTGTGAATGATATGTTAGGTGATAAAACATTGGGAAAATTCTGGAAACTGCAAAGGCAGATGCAAAGAAAAGATCGGCCTATGACAGTCGGAACAATTTGTAGAGACGATGGTGTGCGTGTGACAACAGACAAAGAGAAAGAGGAGGCTTTTCTCCATAGGTTTATAGCTCAGACAGATCATAATGATGTAGACGTCAGGGATGCAGTTAGAAAGGAGATAGCTGGCACCCTGAAGAATATGCATTATGAAGATATGATAAAAACAAATTTTGAAAAAAGCAAAAGACACTGCACCAGGGCCTGATGGAGTCAGGGAAAGTCTTAGAGAAGATAGTTGCTGTAAAGCTGCAAGATTTTTTGGAAAGGGGGAAGCTTCTCCCAAGAGGTCTGGGAAGCTACAGACCAGGAAAGCACACTTGGGCAAATGCAGCAACTTTTGCTTTTGATGTCTATGAAGGGTTCCAGAACAGACAGGAAACTATGTCGGTAGGACTAGATCTCGAGGATGCTTATAACAGAGTGAGATACAACATCCTAATGACTGCACTGAGGGAGAAGGAAGTCAGTCCATGGCTGGTGAATTAGGTTGCAGCTATCCTGTATTCACGTCGGGTTGCTCTCCGACTGGGCTCATGGACCTCAGAACCATTCACCTTGGCCCCAGGACTGCCACAGGGATCCGCCACCTCGCTTGTGCTCTTTAACATGTATACGAGCAAGATTGCAAGCCTAGAAGCACCAGGAGTTGGAAGGATACTGACTTTTGCGGATGATAAACTTGCATATAGGCAGGGGGAAGAGAGGGAACAAACAGCCTGGGAGCTTCAAGTGACAGTAGACAAAGTGACTGAGTTGTGTACAGAAATGAGGGCTGTCGTCCACCTGAAAAAGGCGTCTGTTTTCTGGTGTTCTCTGGACAACAGAATCATTAAAGCTAATCCCCCGTGTGGGTTCCGGGGCCCCATTGTGGGGAAAACAAGAATAGACCCACTGCCTCCCCAAAAGCATGTCGTAAGAGTCGACTAATTGGGGAGCTTCCTTTGAAGTCGGAGTGCATCTGCCGGAGAGGCAAGGAACCAACAGTCTGTATTCAAGAGAATGAGATCTGTAAAACTGATGCACACGCAGCACTCAGGTTCTGGAGCAGGACTGCAGTTCAGTAGTGGACGAGCAACCAGAACCTTCCGCCAGAGTTACAGCTGGTGAACGCGAAGAAGAAGAAGAAGATTAAAGCTAATGTCCCAAGTCTCACGATAGATGGTAGAAACGTCAACAGAGAGAGCAAACTGAAGTATCTGGGAATTACATTTGACAGGAGCCTGTCATTTAAGGACCATGTGGAGAGTGTTGTGACGAGATGCCAAAAAGGACTTAGTGCACTTAAGACTATGGCTGCAATTGACATAGAGCAGAGAATGCTTTTCACACTATATCAGCACCTGATCCTGTCAGTGGTTGATTATGGCCTGGGACTGCTTACCGTCTGAAAGAGTCAGATGGACAAACTAGAGCGCATACAGAACGCGGCTATGCAGGTCATTCTGGGTTGCACCACAGACACCCGTGGTGTGTATGCGATACATCCTTGGTTTGCTGACGGTTGCAGGAAGGCACAAGGTGCTGCAGGCGAAGTCATATCTCAGGGTAGCTGCAGACACAGACCACCCTCTGCATGAAGCTCTGGGTGCAGTTAAGGGTCAGCGGCTGATAAGAGGGAGGTCATGGATGGGTCAGGCAGAAGACACAATCAGACAGGTTTGCATCCTTGAGAACATTAGGCGAGGAGAAGAGTGGGTCAAAGTGCCACCTGTGCAGTCAGACTTGTGTAGAGTCATAATCACGATGAGCCAGGAATGCAGAGACTGGCCAGCAGGTGCCACAGAGGTGGAAATTCAGCAATTAATTCAAGATAATGCTCGCTCAGAGGATTTGATCATTTACACAGACGGTTCAGTGTCGAGGCAAAAGAAGTGCTTGGGGCTTCTTAGCAAAAGTTAATGGTCGACATTTGGTGCAGAAGAGCCTAGCATATGATACTACAACATCCAGCTTAAGTAAGAATGGAGGTGGAGGCGGTCACTGCAGCTTTCCACTGGCTAGAGAACACGACACACATCGTGATTGTAACTGATTCAGAAAGCATGCTGAGGAAGATCAGAACAGGTATGCTTCGTGCAGAGTGGCATGCTTCGCTGCGGAGGACACGGGTGTGGAGTATTGTCTGGGTTTTTCACCGGGTCATGCCGGTGTGTTGGGAAATGAACAGGCGGACAGATTGGCTGTCTCTGCACAACTTGGTGGAATACTGATACATGATAAGGCAGACGTGGTTAGTGCCTTGTGGGAGAGCATGTACAGTTCGGAGGAGCAGATGGATCACCACAGTCTGGTGAGATTGATGCAGCGGGGAGTGACAAGAGGCTCAGAGGAAAGGCAAGATGGACGTTTAATCAGAATGCTACTGGCACCATTATTATCGGAACTCTTCGCTGGCTTCTGAAGATGGGAACAGAGTGCTTATGGGAAATTCCCTAAGTGCTGTGATGACGGTTCTTGAATCAAATCAAATCACACTGTGAAGTCTCTGTATACCTTGGATGAAGAGAATGATGAATAAACCAACCCTTTGAAAACAGATGAAAGTCATAAATTAGTTAACAAAACTAAGTGTAGGCAGAGTTTCTGAGCATGTTTTGAGTATAGGTAAACTCAACAACAACAAAAACTGTCACAACTGAGAAGCTTGGGAAAGACAAAGAATTACGTACATGGATGCCTTGGCCAAATGGAATCATCAGAAAAGACCATGATCGGATATTATTCAGGTGTCCTTGTATGTGTTCATACATAAATATATCTGTAATGTATATACCATCAGTGAGTTTGTCTTCTTCCTCTTCTTCACTTCCTCTAGTTAGTTTTTTTATATGTTGGCATTTTCCTCAGATGGCCAAACCATCTCATCTGTTGCTCTTTAATAAACTGTACAGCTGGTTTCAGTCCTAGTCTTATTTTATATTTTCTTTCTACTCCAGCAGTTCTTCTAAGACATCTCATCCCTTCTGTTATGATTTTGTATTCCTTATTGTGTTTGACCCAGGTAGCAAAAGTTGACCAAAAAATAGTTCTCTTCACATTTGCCTTGGTATAAAAAGGTAAACTTATATGTGTCAAAAGTGGGGTTTGTTCTCCTAGTACTAGTTTGATTTGGCACATAGTGTGATGATTTCTCTGTCTGTCTTTCCTGATGTAAAAATGTGTCTAACATGTTTATTATTTTTCCACAGGGCAGCTGCTTACTGTTTGTTCCAAAAAACGGCATAATTATATTTGCGGTGCTATACACAGTTGGAAATATACTAGCTTTACTAAGGTAAGCACACTGTAAAATGTGATTTGGTGATGTGGTTGCTCGGTTGTCGGTGGTCTCCAATCTTTTTCACCCTTGAGTAAATGGCAAGATTCCCCCCCCCCTCCCTCCTCCCTGAGTATGTTGCAAGGCCTTCACCCCCCACCCCCCTTATGTATATGACACGGCTCCCCTCTTCTCTCTGTCCTCTCCTCACTGCCCCAACATAACAAAATTTGATCAAAAAGAGGACATTAGATTCGGCAACAAAGCAAACAGAATGTGTGGAGATAGGTTCTGGTAAGAATGTGTTATTGATCTATATTTAATGTTAACAGAATGTGTGGAGATAGGTTCTGGTAAGAATGTGTTATTGATCTATATTTAATGTTAACAGAATGTGTGGAGATAGGTTCTGGTAAGAATGTGTTATTGATCTATATTTAATGTTAACAGAATGTGTGGAGATAGGTTCTGGTAAGAATGTGTTATTGGTCTATATTTAATGTTAACAGAATGTGTGGAGATAGGTTCTGGTAAGAATGTGTTATTGATCTATATTTAAATGCTGCCAACAGTAGGACTTTTGACTGTAGGACAATTTGGACTTTGCAGGAGATGTTGCTGGTCTAAGCTGTGAGTAAATCTCTTGGTCTAAACCTGAGTCTCAGCAGCTCTGTAGTTCTTTCACACGACAGACATTTTAACCAAGAGTTGTCATTTGGGAGTATATTCAACTAGCTTTACTCAAGTTCCCTATGAGTTTTGGTAGACTTTTTAAAAGTTTTGCTAGACTTCTTTACTCATTCATTGGATGTGGGTTGATGAGAGACAGAGGATTTTTTGGCACTATATTTCTGTGAGCCACTAACTCCAAGTTCCCCTGCCATCTCAGTTTATGCTCATCTGAACCATTATCCTTTGCTCTCGATGGGCACATGTGTCATGAATCTTGTATAAAGATCCGTAAATCCAGCACAGAGTAATCTGTTGCCCAAGGTTAGGTATGGAGTAAGTCCTTGTACACATCAGAATAGCATTAACTCTGCTTCTTGCCTGTGATCGAAATCACCCTGCCACGAGTTAAAATAAAATTCACTGAGAAGAGTCAGTCACATATTTGACAGAGAGATTGAAAGGTTTAAATTCGGAAGGATTGTTTGTAATGCACTGGGTTGTACCCCATATGGCTCCATTTCTCCACAGAATCGCCAGCTGTCTTCCCAGAGTGTCACACAATGCACAGACCATTGCTCTAATGCTGATCCCCAGGGATTTGTGTAAAAATTGCATTTGTGAACTGAACGATACAGTTCAGAAACGAACTAACTTTCAGAGTGCAGTTAGTTGGCTTAACTACTTGGCTGTGGACATGTTGAAATGATTGTAAGGCAGTGAGTCTCTTCTTTTTTTAATCCAAAACGGGCCCTTGGAACTCCCACTGAAAATCTGGAAGATTTAAAATGTGATATTTTTGTTCAACCTTGTTGTCTTGAAACGATTGTATAAAGTGTTGATCTATTTCCAGTACCTGTTTTCTTATGGGTCCTGTAAACCAGGTTAAAAAGATGTTTGCCAAGACAAGAGCTATAGCCACTGTACTGGTTTTTGTAAGTTCTTGCAGCTTAATCATATGTCTTGTTTCACTTATATTTGTTAGGAGTTGTTGAAAATATACATTTTGCATTGAAATCTGGCATTCTGACTGAAATCCATACAGTTCACCTCAGAATTCGAGCACTGAGTTTACTGTACTTTGATAAAGATGGTGATACAGTAGAAAGAGAAGGGGGGGATTTAAGGAATATTATTGTTTGGAAGGTGAGTTATCTTCCATGAAAACATCAGATAGGAATCCTTTCTGTTGTTTCATAATCATAGTGTTTCAACACTTGTAGAGGATTTGGGGTCACTAGCTTTTGTTGAGAGTCAGCATTCCAAAGTGCTCTGATATTGGTGACTATTTTTAGTTTTTTGAAAATGTTCAATGTTATCATTGAATAACACCTGTTAACTAGTGCTCTGACAGAGTGCCACCTTTCAATAAATGTTTGGAATTTTGACCACATGGTCAAATGATCTTGGATTTCAGCAGTGCTAATCCTTTCCCCTCTTCCTCCCCTGAGGAAATTTTGTCTGCAGTTTCCTCCTTTTGCTGCGTTCTTATTCGGAGGTGCAGTTGTATTTGTTGATATGACATTTATTGGGCAGATTATGTGGAGCAGTGGACAGGGAATCAACAAACATGCACTCACATGGGAAACAAATGGATAGAGTAAACATCCAAAAGAAACCCATAAATGAACGTTGATGAGAGTGGCTGAAGATGCTTGACTAGATTCCGTCCATGGTATTGAAAGGATCGAGCAGGATAGAACAAACTGAAGTAATAGACTGTAAATCCTATTTGGCATATACACTGCACAACGGGATTGTGATATGTGGAAAGGTCAGATGATGCTTGGTTCCCGTTGTGATATGTAAGATAAGCAGACTTGGGTAACTGACCAGGCATGGGTCACAACTGAAACATGTAAATAAGCGCACTTGTAAAGTGCAAAATATGCAAACTTTGACCAAATATCTATGCAACAAGTGCAATAAATGTATTGTCATGAATGCATAAACAATGAAGTTAACCTGTGAGTATATACCAGTCATAGAAAAGCCACATCCAAGGCCAAAAAAATGGCTATCAACAGTCTCATATTCTGATTCTCTTGCACTTGCAGTGTCAAGGTGAAATATATTTTCTGAGGAAAGTGCCTGTTGGTGCACTTCATAAATTGGGATCCAGGATCTCTGTTATTCCCTCTGTCCATAGTTTGCATGGTCAGCCTATGCTTTGCTTCGCGTCTGGTCAGTACATGATTGTTTGCTGTGGTATACTGTTTGTTGATATCTGTGTTCTATGGCTAAACCATTTTACTTGTTTTCTAATGAAATCCAGAACTGCCACTGCCCCCCCCCCCCCCCACCCCACAACCTTACTCCATTTTCCTTCAGATTTCATCGTTTGTGAGTTTCTCTCTTCTTGCTATTTTAAGAGCCCTTTGCGGGAATTTTGTTTCAGTTTTAGTTTCTCTTTTTCTCTGACTTTCTAGGTCTGATATCACAGCTTTGGCAAGAAGATTGTGTCACAGAGTGCTCTTTTGGTGTCTGCTGACACATGTTTGTTTCTCAGTATTGGTGCCATTTGCCCAGTGAGTTGGTTTGCTTTGTTACCTCTGACATCAGTCTTGTCTTCTGATTTGCCAGCTGATGATATTTTGCTTCCTAAGTATTTGAAGTTCTTGGTTTGTTTCAGAGGGTGTTTTGTAAGCTGGATATTTAATGTTGTGTCTCCTTTGCTTGTAAACATGACCTTTGTTTTGTTAGCCTAAATTTTTTTTAATGCTCTAGGCACACTTGGTTTCAATCATTTCTTCTGTCTTGCAGTTCTGTTTCTGAAGTAGTAATTAGTTCTTGATCATATAAAAGTATTAGTTCTTTGATAAACCTGTTTTTCTTTGATTCTGCATATTCTCCATTTGTTCCATCAGTGCATTCATTGTTGATAAATAAGCTTTTACATTTATTTATTAGATATGTGTTCATGCCATAACTCTTTAAAATTCCCTATAGTTTGTTTCTTTCTCTTCTGTCACATGCCTTTCCTTGGTCAACAGGCTAAATATAATTAAATTCAGTTAATTTCTATATCAGTTGTCTGAGAGCAAAGATGGCATTTGTGCATCCCATGTTTTTCCTAACCATAGTTACGTTTCACTTAACTGGGGCTTAATTGTAGCTCATAGTCTTTTTTCTAGAATTGTGCAGAATATTTTCCCGGTATGACTCAAAAGAGGGATGTGGCTGTACTGTGTGCAGTCTCTTTTACTCCCTTTTTTGTTGTTGATATATTGGGATGATTGTGGCATTTGAAAAGGGTTTGTGACTGTTGTTTTACCCATACATGGTTAAACAGCCTTTGCAGCCGTGCTTTTTCTGCTGCTTTGCTGCTTTAATTATTTCATTTTTGTATTTCATCTTGTCTTAGTGCTTTATTCTTTGGGGCTACTCTGATAGCTTCTGCAGAGGACCTCGTACATGATGGTGATAATATGTTGCATGACATTTTGATGATAACCTGTATCAGCAAACAAAATAATAGACAATCTTAAAGGCTAAGAAGGACCAATGTCCCAGTTATCTGAAAGCTAAGAAATTACATTTGAACCCTAGGCATCTGAAACATGCAGTCTGGGCTGCCAGGTCAACCAGTGTAAATTGGGTAGTAGGAAAATATTGTGGGAAGTAATAGTAGCCACATCAACCATTAAGTGCCAACTATACTTGACTCAGATCTGACCTTAGATCTTATAGGATACAGTGAAGAACAGAAACTGCAAACACTGGTAATTCAAACCAGATGACACCACACTTTTGACATGAACACTTTGATTGTTGTGTATTGCAGGTAAGTAAACTAAAGGATACTTTTCACACCTTTGGCACATCTGGCATATAGGGCTAGACTTGTCATAGACCAGTTGGCATTGGATGGGTTATGTAGTCAGCATCACACCAGCCACCTTTACTTCCCAGAGCATTATCTGGTACCCCTTTTGAGCTGGGTCGTCCTGGGAGCCAAGGTCAGTTTTGATGAGAAGAAATCTTCTTTGATTCAGATTTGAATCCTAGATTTCTGGTCCAGCAGTCAAACATCTGAATCGCCAGTTAGTACCCCATTATTATTTATACACGTGTAAGTTCAGTAATCCATGATTTCCATCTCTCTACAGGTTATGTTGATCCTGACTTTAGTCTGTGCCTTTGCTGTGAGTATCACATGACTTTAGAGTAATGATCTGCTATACAGATAGTATAAAATAATGGGTGACTCCTCAGGGATAACAAGATAATACTTCTTCTTCTTCTAGTCCATGCCATACGGTGTTGGTAATTGTGTCTATCCACAACCTTCTTTTTTTTTTTTACTGTCGGTCATTTCTAATCTACTTGTTTTTCCGTATCTTGATGCCAGACTGTAAGCATCTTTTCTGTTTCTCTCCCTCTGCCTGTCTTCCCCTCCTTTTTCCCTGTATTGCTGGTAAACAAATTTTTCTGTTCTCATGATTTGACCTCAAAAAAATGCAGATTCTCTCCTACTGAAATGTGACTCTGTGAGTCAATATCTTTCAAGACATTTTCATTAACTCTTTTTGTCTATCCATGGTTCTCAACATGTTTCTATTAAACAACATTTCTGAGGCTTCCACATAATTTTACCATGAAAAATTGTTAGTCCAAATAAGAAATATAAATAATTAGCTTCACAGTACCCTGGTAACATATGTGAGAATGTGTGAACGAGGAATTAGGAGTGGATCCTGAATATAGGGACATATGAGAGGAAGAGGCTGGTGTGTGTGGAATCAGTGTGCTTCAAGAGCAGTCAGCATCCACACCTTAAGGCATTTGCTGGTGGAGATAGAGCTTCTGTAGGTATGCCCGGTGTGCTATGATGTCGATTCTTGAATCAGTACCACAGTTGTAAACGACACGAATGAATTTTGTGGCTAGAAATCCTCTGTTAGCATACAGTACAGACAAACCGTAGTTACACTCAAGAGTATATCAAATTACTTAGCTTTACAGTGAGACTTGTCAAGAATCTCCGTCCACAGTTTTGCACTAATCAAGTGACTGTTCATGATTTTCATCTGCACGTCAGAATTGATTATATAAAGCTCTTTAAGAACTCTCTTTCCTCAGTTGACATAAGGTAATATGTTGCATGGAATATTATCCATCTTGTGAAATGCTACTCTTGCTTGAGCTATTCCACATTTATTTCTTTAATACATCTTTCACTGTTGTCAGGGTTTCTAAATATTTAACTCTTTCGCCTCACTAATGCTCAATAAAATGTGTGGTGAACCCATGATAATTTCAGAAAATAAGTTCTTTATAAAACAAGTTTTACCCAGGTCAGTAATATTGTTAGGGGGCTGCATGGTCTCAGGGCATGATGTCCACCTTGAGTGCTAAAGGTTTAAGTTCAATCCCTGGTAAAGGTTGGGATTTTTTCACGTGGACATGGACTTCTAGTATTTCCCCTGGTCTCTAAATAGTGAGAACGGATGCCCGTGTGCGAGTAAAAACTCCCTTGGCAGTTGTAAATCGAAAAGAGTAGCCTTAGGGTACTTCTTCTTCTCTTCCACCTTGTACCTCATCGAAGTGTCGGGGGGAGATGTAATGTTCATTGATGAGCTCTGTCAAGAGCACTATTAAGATTGATGTTCATTTCTGTAAGGCTGTTCTTAATGCCATCACTCCATATTTTCCGAGGTCTTCCACTCGCTCTATACCTATTGTAACGTTGCAATGTGGCTCTTTGTGGTGGATAGTAGCAGGGCATTCTTGTAAGGTGTCCAAACCACTTCATTTGTTGTTCTTTGATGACCTGTAAGATTGGTTTTATTCCTAGCATTCGTCTGATTTCATGATTTCGTATTTTGTCTTTCCTTTAAACTCCTGCAGCTCTTCTAAGGCATTTCATCTCTGTTGTCACAATTTTACATTCATTGGAGGATGTAAGTGTCTACGTTTGGCATTGATAGCATAGTGTTGGCCAAAAAATAGTTCTGATAAGATTCACTTTAGTACTCCGAAATTAGGAGTTGAAAATCTACCCAAATTATTCAGAATCCTCGCCATTGCTACAGAGCCTATGCTGAGCTTCTTCAGACTTACTTGTGTTAAAAGACAGATCAGAGCACTTATGGGTTACTTCCCGTGTGTCACGATGTTGATCTGTTGTTCAGACTTCAAACTTCTAATAAATTGTTGGAAAATGTATTTATTTACATTTCTTAAATTATTTCAAAATATATAAAGATAGGATATAATCAATAAACAGAAACAAATTTGGGAAGCAATCATTTGGGCTTAAATAAATTTATATTGGGTGACTTATGCCCTGACCCCATGATCTTTTTCACTGAGTCTTAGAAAACAGTTTTCAGTCCACCTGGCTTAATAAAAGCTGTTGAAATTTTCAAGGAACTCCTCTAAATACTACATTTAGTTAATATATTCACATATGGGCATCCAGATCACTGCTCAGGTGCACATAGAACCAGTGGCATTTAACTATGCTTTATGAGAACAGGTGACAGCAGAAATTGATTAAATCGGCATTAACGGGGCTGGGTCACAACCGGAAGTGACTAGACTTAGATTAGCCTCCTCGGAGTGACAGCGTTAAAATTATAAACTTGTTTGAATGTGACAATTAATTGAAAAGAATTATTGGATGTTGACTAATTCTCATAGTTTAGAGAAAAGGTCAAGGTCCATTTGCCGGACTTTGAGCTGTATTAGGCATAATTGTTTATAACCCAGCCAGCATTCAGTGGGTGATGTCAGTATTATGCTGGCAGCCTTTTCTTCCTAGGACATGTCCTGGTGCTTATCTTAGGCTGTTCTTACAGTGCAGAAGAACAGACAGGGAGTCCATACAGTGAAAGACTAATTTCATGGGATGGGGGGGGGGAGGGGCCGTGTAGAGGTTCTGAAAGATATTCAGCATTGAAGAGGAAACAGAGTGGACTTTTCATCAGTTTGCAAACGGTACTAATAGCATGGATGGCAGCTCTTTGTTGGTTAATGAAGAATGGGACGGAGCACATGTGGGAAGGTCCAGAGTGCAGTGATGTCAATTTTTGATTCATTTATTAGGCTGTTCTTTTGTAACTTACTTGGCAACTATTTTGTTTTTAACATACTTGACCATTATGTTTTGTTTTTTGTAACATACTTGCCTTTTTTTTTTTGTATGTTTGACCATTATGTTTTTTTTTTTTGGTTATATACTTGATCATTTTGTTCTTTCTCATAACATACTTGATACTTTACTGTCATGTTTGTGTTTTTCCCCAGGTAAAAATTAACGCTCTGACAATAGTTTGTTGTATACTACAGTTTCTTGCTCTTACATGGTACTCACTGTCATACATCCCATTTGCACGGTGAGTAACTAACTTCCAGTTGTCTAATAGTGAACACTTAAAATTCTGTGTGCTTTAGGAAATGTCTGGACAACTGTTGGTGTCAACAGTTTTAAGATAAACAAGATGGTGATGTACTGGGCACATTCTGATTAGAAACAGACAGAATCATAAAAAATGTACTGAAATGTGACAACAAATGGATTAAAGAAATAAGGATATCCAAGAGGAATTCTACACCAAAAGTTATTAACCCAAAGGTCCTAGACTCAATTCCATCCATGATATAGAAACGATTGCACAGCATAAAAATGAATGGGAGAATCAACTATGCATCCACTGGGCATATAAATAACAAAGCATGATGGTGATGATACTTTTGGGTATTTTAAAATATATTCATAAATAGAAGGAGCAGCATGCCAAGTTTCTAGATCTCCCGGCTGTCAGCTGATTAGGCTGAGATGTCCATCAGAAATATGACATAATCATCTTCATCTTCAGGTGCCTTGCCGACTGGCGTGGGCGATCATGCCTCTCCATAATCTACGATCTCTTGCAGCATGTATCAGTTTGCGTTCCGACACACCTCCATGCCATGCAACAAAACTGTCAAGAATCTTTTCTCGTTGTCTTTCTCTATCCATCCTTCCACAGGTCTTTCCATTTTTCACAACATGTACTATTTTCCCTCTTCTCATAACATGGCCAAAAAATGATGACGGTCTCCTTCTTATGTCTGTGATAAGTTGTCTTAGGGCTCCCACCTCTTTCAAACCTCTTGGTTGCTTTTTTTGGCTGTCCAAGGTATTCTAAGCATTCTTCTGTTAAATTACATCTCTGAGGCCTCAAGAAATTGTTTGGCCTGCCAACCGATTGTCCAGGATTCACAGCCATGTGTTAAAACTGGATGTATGTTACAAGCAAGAATTCTTTTTCTAACTCTCTGTGACAAGGAAACAGCAAAGTCAACTGTCAAAGTCCTACTGTCTGGGAGATATCCGTTACCATTGGCCCACTCAGCAGAGTAATCTGGTAATCTGGTAATTTTAATTTCAGCTTCATAGCAAACAAGTCACCCCATCTTTGCTCCGCTCCTGTGCCAACGAAAAACACAGAATGTTTATCACAGGCCCTTGTGGAAAGACTGACAAACTGCTGTCTCAGCACATCTAGCATACACTCGCATTAAAAGCATATGGTAGCCATCCGAAGTGCTAACACAAACAGTCTGACGTTAGAAATGAAGTTCATCATTGATGGTAGCAAAAGTCACCAAAAGATCAGCAGTTGCACACGCGATCAATTTTAATCAAATAATGGCCCCACCAATATTGCGACAACCGGCATCGCGCCATTTTCTAAAATCTAAAAATCACACCACCACGTTGGTTAGTCGAAAAACATTTGAAATGAAATCCGCAGCTCACAGTGTCACGCCATGCACTCAACTCAGAAGCTGGGTAACGAAACTATATACTTCCAGTCTACAAATGGAGCAAAAAAGCAACGGCTACAGTCTGGCAGAAGCAAAAAAAATTTTGCCTCGGCTCAAAACAGTGGCAGTGCCTAGTGTTCATTTGGACCTGAAGCATTATGTGAGGGTTAATAAACTGTCAACCCAGCAGTACCCTACTATTAGCTTGGGAAGGGATTTAGGACATTACATCCACTAGCAAGCGTCGCCCCAACAACGACCTGACTGCCTTCGTTAACGACTGTTCGCCCAACAGCCATGCAGTTCTTTGGCACGAAGGAGACACCTTGAACTTGGGTTTCGGACTGCCGACTTTCTACACGAAGATATATGTGTGCTACTGATGTCCCGTAGCCAAAATACTATCTCACTGTATTACTAAAATTCAGCACGCATACTCAAACGCAGTAGTTAACACCTGTAGATAAGGAGACAAATGAGGCTACGTCATGCCCCATAAAACTGTTGGAAAGTTAACTCTGTCAGCAAATGCTTGAAAATCACAGCTTTGCTATAAACAGCTTGGCGAAGAAGGAACAAGATTGTGCTCAAAGTGCCAGTTTTCTTAAATGTGTCTTTCACTTTACATTTTCACTAAAACATTTTTTTTTAAACTTTCCCAGGGACTTTATAATTAAATGCTTTGGTGCTTGCCTGGACTAAAAGTGACCAGACAACACATTCTGCTGCAGACAGTCAAGTTTGCAGTCTCTGCAGGTGATGGCATTTATGATTATGGTTGGTTTCACTGACATTCTATGCTGCACTGCTGCTACCACCCATAGAGCTGCAGTCAGGTTACTTATTTTTTTTAAATACAGGGGATGGGGAATTGTTTAAATGTTCAGATTGTGCATAATTATAATATTATTATAAGGAGAGGACAACAGTCAACATCACTGTAAACAGAAGGGTACTAAAAAAAACTCCATGGCTTCAGTTCTACTTTATTATTACTTCTTGGTTGTCCAGGTTTCTGCTCTATATTGTAGGGTTGAGTTTAGTTTTAGTCGATGGATCAACATCATGGCATCTAACTCAAGCCTGAGTCTGAAGAATCTCGGTGCAGTGCACAAACTCCATTGCACCTGTGAGGATCCTGAATTACTTTGGGTAGATTTTTAACTCCAAATTTGACCCGTGCAGCGCTGTTAGGCTACTCTTTTGGATTTCCAACTGCCAAGGGATTTATTTACGTGCGCAACAATACACAGGCGTCCGGTCCTACTATTCTAGAAATAGATTCCAATTCTGGGGCCTGGCCATCATAGTTAAGACTGATGTTTCCTTTGTAGTTGAAGTGCATCTTAGCTTTCACCGGCTGTAAACTCTTGTGGAAAGTTATGGTCCGCTAACTTCTGGACTTTAGTCTTGGTCCAGAACTTTTATTTTGCTTGCACATCTGTTTTACAGGTTTGGCTTATTTGTATGCAGACTATTGGTTCTTTTCCTCTCAGATGCACTCTGATTTTTAAGGAAAAGCCTCTGATTAGTTGCCTCCTACGACATGCTTTTGTGTGTGTGTGGGGTGGAGTGGGTCTGTTTTTCTCCCTCCCCCCCCCCCCCCACCCCAATGGGGTTCCAAAACCCATACAGGAAAGTTGCATATTCAGCCATGTGCAGTGTGGTTTAGAGGTTAGTAAGTGCATTCCACAATTCCCTGTTCCTTGACATATCAGGGTCCAAGTCACACTGTAAACTGTTTATCTATTTTTTTTAATATGAAAAATTTCTCCTTGCTTTGAACAATGGTACAAGAGTCACACCATGGAAGAGACGAAAGCATCATTATGTAATATTCCTAAACAGCAGTGGATGCACTGCAGGATATTTTGATTATGGATACGGAGCACAATTTTTCTTCAATCAGCCTTATTGTAGTATTATCATCAGGTTGTGGTGCCTTAACTACTCATCTCATTCTGATTCTCTTGTACCTGCAGCGTCAAGGTGAAATATAGTTTGTGGGGTAAGTGCCCGTTGATACACTTCATAATTAGGGACTCAGGACCTCTGTTATTCATTCTGTCCATAGTTTGCATGGTCAGCCTCTTCTTCGCCTCCTATCTGGTCTGTACATGATTGTTTGCCATGGTATACTGTTTGTTGACATCTGTTGCATTATATGGCTAAACGACGGTTTCCTGGAGGTTAAACAGGGTATCTGTGACTGGGCTGGCATCCAAAGTAAGACTCTTTGAGTTACAGAGTGGCAGCCAAGTGGAAAAACAGTAGCCCAGAAAGAAAGACAATCAGTCTATATTATACGCAGTTAGGCTTTGTTGTTGCTTACTTACCACTGGTGAAAGAAGCCATTTGTTTGATATATTGACAAATGTTGATTTTTTTTTAATGTAATTTGCATTCCGTGTTTTAAAAATTATGTGGATTCTATTTTTTATGAGTGATTTACATCCCAGTGCTGTTTAATATATCAAAAAATTATTTATTTATATCAATTTGATTAGCATTCCATTAATATTTGATGCATCAAAATGTGGCTTATATTTCCTAAAATGTGATTTTGTATTCCATTCATATTTTATATATTAAAATGTTGCTTGTATATTTCTTGGAGATGTGATTTACACACCATTGATATTTAATATATCAAAATGTTTTGGGGAGCCCTGTAATGTAGCGGCTAGATACTCGTCTACGGATCCGAAGATTGTGGGTTCAAATCCGAATGGAGCCTGCATTTTTTTCAGAAATAACCTTAGGTCCCGGCCTCAAATGGGTGCCAGGAAAAGTCAAAGGAGGTAAAGGTGGCCGGCATGATGTTGACCACATCACCCATGAGTGCCAGTTGGTCTATAAAATGTAGGTATATCACTACATACCCAATACACTTGGAAAATGGTACTGTACAAAAACAAAAGTGTGGATTTGGCCTGCAGTGGCATTGTAGTTTGTGTGCACATGTGCCATAGGTGGGGTCTAGGTTCAATTCTGTAAGGTAGTATGTCCAGTTTGATGGTCCGCGAACAAAGTTAGGGACATTCCTGATATCATTTATTTTAAAAAGCATGAACTTTAGAATACAATCCTGTTTATTACTCTAAAACAATAGACCTCGTTACCACCTCACTTAAGAAAAACTCTGTTAACATGAACACAATTTGGGGATGTATTATTATTATTAGTCCCTTGTTCATCATCGTCCGGTAATAATGCGTGTCAGTTGGTGGCCAGTTGTTGTTGACTGTCTGATCAGCTCCTTCAACTTTTTGACATTCAGATGCAGTGGACTTCATGCCTAAGCCCTGTGCAGTCAGTAAAGTTCTTTATCTATGCCTTTCTTGGTCTGCCTCATTCCCTTTACTGAGCTCTCTTAAGGATTTTTGTTTTTTTTTCTAAGTGGCTGTTAGATTTATTACATGTCCTTACCATTTCATTGCATTTTCTATCTTTTCACTGTTTAGCATAAAATGACCCTGGCTTTCAGTACCAGGTTCAATCCTAGGAAGTAAAGGTGCTGACCACATCACCCACCCTGTGCCAATTTGTCTATAAAAAATAGGTCTAGCACTATATTACTTTCCTTTACTGGTTAGCATGAATTTTTTAACGCAAACTCAATCCCTTCGAATTCATGTCCACGAGGTTTTACTGTATTAAGAAATTATAATAAGTTGTTCTGTATGACCTTTAACACGTATACGATCCGCAGCAGACCAAAAATGAGAGAGGTCTGCAGGTCTTAGCTAATTGGGGCTCACTGGTCTGGAGCAAACCCAGCCTTGTAAAGATGAATGCTTGACAGTTGTCTGAGAGGGACAGCTGATGAGACAGGGAACTGTTGTTATCCGAATGTGTGGGGACCTACCACTTCACACCTCGTCAGCAGAATCTATTTTTTTTTAGGAGGAGGAATAATTTTATTTACATTCTGTTAATATTTTATATATCAAAATGTGCAAATATATTTTTTAAGTGATTTAGATACCATAGCAATTGATGTATGAAAATGTGAATTACATTTCTTTGATGTAATTTATATTCAATATTTAATACTGTAAAACATGAATATTTCTTTCAAAAGTGGTTACATTCCATTAAAGTTTAGTGTGTGGGGATCTCAGTGGCTGAGTTAATAGCCTCATGCTCTGAAGATTGAGGTTTCGTTTCAGAAGTGCCTTGTTCAGTTCATGAGTGAACATTTTATGGAGATCCCTGAGGATTTTTGCCACAGCTACGGGCTTTATGTTTTTAGTGATGCTCTTGTTCTGCTGTGAGATCGGTCCATGTGAGCAGGTGTTGTTTTTCTATCTGTATACAGCACTGATATTTTTTTTTTTAGCACCACTGCAATCGACAGTTTGTGCGAGTACCAGCACCATTTATTTTTAAAACAAAAAAAAATTGTTTAAACTTTGTTTTGAATACTAACACCTTTTCTCTAGGGTAAAAACTCCAGCATGTGAGATAAAAACTGTTGCAATGAAGTGACCCTCTCGAATGTTGATTTTCATTGCTTTTTCATGTTGCAAATGTTTTTATTTTATAGTTTTATGATAAGATTTGAAAGTTCAAATAGTTGATGGGTTGCCATTACTTTTTTTTATTTTTGGTCTTGCTACTATCCTTTTCCGTGTTGTATGCTTCTAACTCTTCTTATTTGCCTTATTTTATTGTCTGGCTCATTTCTTATATATATATATATATATATATATATATATATATATATATATATATATATATATATATATATATATATATATATATATATATAGGTGTTCGGTGTGTGTGTATATAATTTAATAATCTGTGTGCCATATCTTCACCCCCCAAAAAAAGATGTTTTTCTTTTGTTGTTTAAATATTTACTTCCTTGAAAAACTTACATTCCATCCAGTATATTTTATTGTAGGACTGAACCATAGAGCGAGAGTTGTAGGGAGACATGATCACCCAAACTTGTTGACAGCACCTAATGTTTCACACACACACACACATACACACACATTATATATATGAGAAGGAACGGACTAGGAAACTTGGTGATAACTGGCAAGGGAAGCAAAGAAATAAAAATCGTGTTGGCTTGACCATATGAATCGTGCAGAAGATTCTGGTGAAACATAACTGCCTAAGCTTGACTGCACAGAACAATATATATGTATATAATAAGCACACACACACACATAAGACATCACAGTGTAGATGAACAAGGTGATGTCATGACAGCTTAAAGATGCCCACCTGACTTTTCATGCATCCAAGAATTAGTATTCTCTTATTCTTTTTTTTTTAAATCAGTGAAGGAGTGAAACTTATTGACATTTTTTTTCAGGAGGAGGATTAATTTTCTTTAAATGTTATTTACAATCCGTTAATATTTTATATATCAAAATGTACATATATTTTTTTTTAAGTGATTTAGATAACATTTAGAATTGATGTATGAAAATGTGAATTACATTTCTTTGATGAAATTTATATTAAATATTTAATACTGTAAAACGTGAATATTTCTTTCAAAAGTGATTACATTCCATTAAAGTTTAGTGTGTGGGGATCTCTGTGGCTGAGTCAATAGCCTCATGTTCTGAAGATCAGGTTTTGTTTCAGAAGTGCCTTGTTCAGTTCATGAGTGAACATTTTAAGGAGATCCCTGAGGATTTTTTCCACAGCTATGGACTTTATGCTCTTGTTCTGCTGAGAGATTGGGCCATGTGAACAGGTGTTGTTTTTCTATCTGTACACAGCACCCATATTTTTTTAAGCATCAGTGCAATAGACAGTTTATGCGAGTACCAGCACCTTTTTTTTGTAACTTTGTTTTGGATACTGACACCTTCTTTTTCTAGGGGAAAAACCCCAGCATGTGAAACAAAAACTTTTTGCAATGAAATCGACCCTCTTGAATGTAGATTTGATTTCTCAGTCATTTTCAGTGCTTGTTTATGTTGTAGATGTCTTTATTAATTAGTTTTATGGTAAGATTGGAAAGTTAAAATAGTCGAGGGGTTGCCAGTACTTTTTTTTATATTTGGTCTTGATACTATGCTTGTCCATGCTTCTGACTTCTTGATTATTTGCCTTATTTTATTATGTGTATTATTATGTGTGTGTGTGTGTGTGTGTGTATATATATATAGACACACACACACACACACATATATATATAATTTACTAATAGGCCATCAAGAAGCAGAAGCATACAATATGGAAAAGCATAGTATCACAAGAAGAAGATATATATATCTTAACTAATTCCAAACCCAAAAAATCTTTTTTTATTTACTTCCTTGAACAACTTACATTCCATCCGGTATATTTTATTGTAGGACTGAACCATAGAGCGAGAGTTGTAGGGAGGTATCATCACCCAAACTTGTTGACAGCACCTAATGTTTCACACACACACACAGTCATCATTTTCGGCCATATGAGAAAAGGGAAAATATATACCACTGGAAAGATATTGTAGAGAGAACATCTTGATCCCAAACTTGTGTGCACACGAAGATACATGCCTAATGTTTCAATATATATATATGATGTATATATATTTAAATGTGAGAAGGAACGGACTAGGGAAGTTGGTGATAACTGTCAAGATTAATGGGGGTGGGCAAGAGGAAAGCAAAGAGATCACAATCATGTTCGCTTAACCATTTGAATGGTGCAGAAGGGCACTAGCCTTGTCGTGACTCTGGTGAAACATGACTGCACAGAGCATTATATGTATATGCGCGCGCGCACACACATATGACATCACAGTGCAGACGAACAAGGTGATGTCTTAATGACATCTTACTTTTCATGCACCTTAGAAGCAGCGTTCTCTTATCCATTTTAGTTTTTAATCAGTAAAGGATTGAAACCTGTTGAATGAAAGTCCAGTCATGTGATGTATGCATATCAGTCTAGCCAGTGTGTGACAAGGATTAGGAGTTTCAAACCGGTGTGACCTCTGGGACAGACCATTCATGACTGGGTCAAACTGGTGTGACCTCTGGGACAGACCGTTCATGACTGGGTCAAACCGGTGTGACCTCTGGGACAGACCATTCATGACTTGGTCAAACCGGTGTGACTCTGGGTCAAACATGACGGACTGGTGTGACCTCTGGGACAGACCATTCATGACTGGGTCAAATTGTGTGACTTCTGGGACAGACCATTCATGACTGGGTCAAACCGGTGTGACTTCTGGGACAGACCATTCATGACTGGGTCAAACCGGTGTGACCTCTGGGACAGACCATTCATGACTGGGTCATACCGGTGTGACCTCTGGGACAGACCGTTCATGACTGGGTAAAACACATCGAGTAGTGACCCCAGAGTTTGATTGCAAATGTTGGAGGCTTCATACAGGAAATTTGCTGGACTGTCAGACATGCATCACCAGAGTTGACCATTTGCCCATAAATTTCTGAAGGTTTCACTTTTTTCTGTTTAAAAAAAAAAAAAAGATGCTGGTGCTTCACACCAACATAAAATAAGCCGTGTACATATAAAAACTGGGAGCACCGGTACAAAAACACACAAAAATGTGTGTTAATTTTTTTGGCGGCTGGTCAGCATTCCATGGCTGCTCTGGGTTAGCCTGTTGGGGGGCACTACCTGAGAACTAGGCAACAAAGAGACTGCAGTGTCTCACAAAACTAACCTGGAAGGCTAGCCCAATAACTGCAGTAAGTTGGACGTGTCAGCCTAAAGGTGCTAATATGGCAACCATTTTGTAAACAAGCACAATGCATATATACATCTTCAGATGGCCGTAGAAGAAATTAAAAAATATTTTTTAAACAAACATGGCGGCCATAATGGTCACTGCCTTTGTATTGTTATATGTGTGTTATCGATGCATGCGTTTTTTTTTTTTTTCATTTATTCTTGTTGCCTGTCAGTCTAATATGAATATATGTTAGTATACATAGTTGTATTGTTCATCTTTTACTAAATATATGTCTGTTTATTTTATCTATTTGTTTTGTTCATTTGTTACTGAAAATATACTTTGACCATCAGCATCTGTGGCTTAGGCGTTGCGAACGCGCTTTGTAATGTCAGGATGCCGGTATCGATCCCAGTGCGGACAATGTGGTGTTGGTTTCGACAGTGGTCCCGAGAGCTGACCACTTATAAAGCAATGGCAAACTACTGAACCTAAAATGTGCCTACAAAAACCACAACAGCCAAAAAAAAAAAAAAAGCTGGCGTTGGTTCTGCAATGTTCCTATAAAGGGATACACAAAAACTTTTTAAATATTCTGGCAAGGAAAGATCTAAATGGATGTCATTTGGAAAAAAGTCAAGAACCCTTTACCACGCCTTTAGAGTTAGACCTGTATTTTATAGCCTTTACTTCCCAATCCACATAAATCTAAGTGTAAAATAACAAGAGAAACAGTTACCAACAACTGGTATTTTAGTGTTTAAATATCAGTGTGATGGCTGACACTGTTTTGTTCGATATCTGGTATTTTCAAGTCTGGTGTTGGACAAAGCACAATAGAGATCACTATTCACATAAAGCTAACAAATGCTATCTTGTTTTCATGACTGTTGAAGCTGAAAATTCAGATTACTCAATTTCAAATAGCTTGGTGCTTCACCCTGAAGCTTCCTTGTGCCCCCCAGGTTGCAGACCGCGGTTTCAGATTGTTGTTTATAACTACACTGGTTGATGACGAAGGCTTTCTAACGATACTGTTCATGAATATGGTATTGTGACTAGTTCTTCTCCTTTGCATCAATAATTTTTCAAATTATAGCTTCAGTTCAGCACCCTCCCAGAGCTGCGCTGCTACTACATGTTTGTGCCCATCTAACTCACTATAACGGACGTTTTTGTAGTATTGTTTTGGCCTCTAGATAATTATTTGTAACTGTACCCTTATCTGTTTGTGACATATGCTGATGAAGGCTTTCTAGTCACAGCTTTTATTTTGCCGTTCATGACTAGTTCTGCTTCTTGTGTTCATGACTGTGGTACTGTGAAGCAGACTAGTTCTACTTTTTTTTGGATTAATTTTGGATTTATACACGTAAAACTCCCCTAACAAAACCAATTCCCTATGGCAGGAATTATAAAAAGAACCTCTGCATCACGATGGCTAAGAAATGAATTAAGTGAACTCTGACTAAAAGCTAAACGAAAGGGGAGCAACGTAGATACAAATCAACGCTGCAGCCCCTTTGACAATGAGATCGCCCTTTGTTACGTTGTTCATGTCAAGAAAGGCTGTGACCAAAACTTTCATTTGTCTGCTGTGTGTATGTTGTCCACTTTCATTCAGCTTTTTAGTCACGATTCCTTAGATTAATTTGTTGATATTAGCTTGACTGTCATCACACTGTTATTATCAAAGCTAGTATCATTCTGGCAAAATTACTACTTATATTACTGATTTACACCCCACCCCCCCCCCCTCTCTCAGACACTCATCATTAAAGATGAAACCAAGACCATTTGTTGACTGTGACACTGTACCCATCTCATTGACAAATATTTCACAATCCAGTCTAAAATTCACATTTAAATATGCCATTATGAGTCTGGAGTGATTTTAACACCTCGCCTGATCTGACCCCAACCAATCAGCCTGAGAAGGAAACAAGAAAAGAACAAATTAATGACATACACAAGTACTTCACAAATCCTATAGCAAATAATTCTGCCAACAGCTCAACACAACACAACACTACCAAGCTTAACAGGCAGAAATACACAAACAAGTAAAAACTTTTATCAAGTAAAAACTTTTATCAAGAAAAAAAACAATAAGAATCATAAACTCACCTCCAGTGCTTCTCGACTCTACGACTTAGAGCGATCTTCTCACCAACTTCCGTACAAACTGGAGCTGTCAGACCAATTTTGGCCAAATCGGCCCTGACAGCCAACACACGACCCCCAGTGGACAAAGACCCAATGTTCACCATCAGAACTTCATTTTTGCTCAGTTTTTGCACCTGCAAAGAGTAAAAAAAAAGTGAGAGAGTTCTTAATGAAGACTATTATACAAAGAGATTTCTTAATTAAAACTGCTATAAAGACAATCTTGAGTAAGAGAAGTGAAATATACAGGCAAAAAAATTGATCACTGAAAAATTATTTGGAAGCTGCAGAGATTCAGAGAAAGGTCATGAGAAAACCAAGAGCCACTACAGGACAGAGGTGAGACGATCACCCCCTAGCCTAAAAACGTGGGTTCAAATCACCTTGAGGTAAATTTTTCCAAACTGAACATTGCTCCCAGGTGGACCCGACCTGAAACGGGAACCAAGTAATGTCTGGGAAAGTAAAGATGGATGACACTGAGTTGGCCATATTACCCATCGAGTGCCATTGAGTAGCATCATACGCCTGATGTGCCAGTGGCAGTGTCTGGCCAATAAATGGAGCAGCAACCATGGTCTCCGCTATGATGAAACCTGTCGAAGAGTTATATCTACATGTCAACCCTTTTTCCCCATTCTCACACTGTCCAGCAAACTCAACTAAGCTCTTTTCTCACACTGTCTGATTAATTCCCTTAGCTCCCTTCTCATAGTCTGACAAATCAATTTTAGCTCCCTTCTCACAGACTGTCCAACAATTCACCTCAGCTCCCTTTCCACAGACTGTCCATCAAACCCATCTTAGCTCTCTTCTCACAGACTGTAACAAACTCACCTCATCTTCCTTCTCACAGACTGTCCAACAAACCCATCTTAGATCCATTCTCACAGACAGACTGTAACAAACCCACCTTAGCTCCCTTCTTGTCCCCTTCTGTCTTGACCCCCAGTAATCTCCTCAACAAGAAGAATGAAATCTCCAGCTCTGTGAAAATATCTGGCAAGGCTCCAACTGCTCCCAGTACCTGGCCAACAAGGCGGTCACCTCTGCAAAGGGTGGGGTCCATCTTGGTTCCCACGCCTGTTGACAAAACAAACAAGCCAAGCATTCACTAAATACGCCACCTCAGCCTGACATGGAGCTAATTTATGATGAAGTCTAGAGTTTTATAAGAAACACAGAAACTTCATGCTTATTAGCTGTAAACCCATGAGAAAGATTTGACTGTAAAGCCACTTATGGAATTTAATCTTCCTCCAAAACACAAGCTGTGCATGCACATCTGCTTTACAGACTTTGCTTATTTGTATGTAGATTATTTGTTCCTTACCTCTCAGGCAGATGCAGCCTGTCTACAAAGAAACCCCCCCCCCCCCCAATTAGTTGACTTGTATGACCTGTTCGTTAGGGAGTAAGTGGGTCTGTTCTTTTCCCCTAAATTGAGGCCCTAAAACACACTGGGGAAACTTACAGAACCAAAACATAAATAGACTACCAGGCAACTATATTTTAAACACATCAGTGAACAGCTAACGATCTTCAGACTGGACTCAGTAATTATCTAAAGCAGGAAATACTCATAAAAGCAAAAGCTGAACATGTAAAACACGGTGACTAACCATTCGCTACAAGAGTGACCAAACATGCAGAAAAGCAAACATTATTTTGGCCAAAACTTTTACTTTCTGGAGACAAAACTGGAGACTTAAACAAGCTTATAAGTGACTGTTGCTTTCTTTTAAAAAGATGACTTATGAAGGTGCACAAAGTATTAAATTACATAAAGACAAAGTATTAATGAAACACGAAAACTCTACTGCAAAAAGAAAAACATGAAATAAATAGAATACTTTAGGATGGTAATGTTTACCCCCTATTTTTGGTTAAAAAACAGGTTCAACTACAAAACACTGCCTGTCTTTACCACTTCTGCTGTGTAGGCTGGTAAATACCATTGCCCCTCAAACAAGTTTATCATAAAAAGCGATTAATTAGTGATTTGTTAAAACTGATATGTTGGCCCGAAAGGCGCAGATATGCAGCCAAGCAGGCAACCATCCACAGACCCACCCCTTTAAGGAAGAACATAGAAGAAGAAGTTAACATTTAATTCAGGCGTGGACTTGTATAAGCGAGGAACAACCAAAGTTAGATGGACGTGGAAGTAAAGGATAACAACAATTTTCAATTTCTCCTCATCAAAAGGAGGCAAAGCTATTTGGGAAAGATATCAACTACTATAATAAATGTACCTGACAGGAAACCTACCTATCAAGCCTCCAGGGACGGCGTACTGCAGGTCATTCTGTTCAGCATACAGGGAAACAATTTTAGACATGATTGGTCTACATGTCAGTTTTCCCTCCTGGTCTCGGGAGACCACACCTGGGCGAACTTCAATTTCTTGGTTCACCTGCAAGATGAGATGATGAGTAAATGAAGCTGGTACACACTAGCTCTCTTCTGATTGGTCGACCTTCAACCTACCCACTTCTGATTGGTCGGCCTTGAGACACCCGACCTTCACACAAGGTGACAGGGGTGTTCCATAATGCCATTAATATCACATGTTGTATATTACACCATGCCAGCGCTTTTAACACTCCAAAAACATTGACAACTGGATCTAACACTCAACCCCTTTAGAGAGTGGCAAAACCTATGTCATAGGCAGTCACTTTCTCTGAATAAAAACGTAAATGCAAGACAACAACAGAGTGCCACACCCATAACCTCAACTACAGTAGACTAGTCCAACAAATTTATCAATTGAACGAGACATACTTCCCGTGAGGAGACTAAACTTTGATAGACTAGATGATGATAAAACTGTAGTCACAGAAGCCATTCAAGACAGTGATGCTATTCAGAAGAAGCCAAATAGACAAGCATGCTTCATCTGAAAAAAAGTTCTAAATTTATGGGATCCATTCCCCATGTGGGGTCTGGGAGTGTTCCAGAAGTGGACGAACAGCCACATCTCTCTGTGACAGTTTACAGGAAGTGAACACAAAGAAGAAGAAGAAGAGGGAACCCACAACTGTGACACCAAGTACTTTCCCAGTGTACCCTACTGCTGTTCTCAGTGGGTTTGTATGAGGAAGCAGGGAGGTGTGACCATGTTAGTTTACCCTCTACATATCAGCCATTATTTTTCGTTAAGTATTTATCTGGATGTGGACAAGAGGAAACCATCCTATAATTTCTCAGGAATATGTTCTTGTTTTTCAGCAGTCATAAAGCTAACAATGTTGAACTTATGACTTCACCAAACTATTTTGAATAAATATACAGATTTAAATGAGGCACCAGTGAAATATGAGAGCATTTGACCAAAATTAAATATGAGGAGATGATGAAAAATGTTGGAAGACATCAATGTAGACTGGAATGATCTCAGAATAATTAAAAACATTTACTGGAACCAAGTAGCAGCAATTAAAGTGGGAAACAGATTAGGTACTTTTGAACAGATAAAGCAAGAAGTAAGACAAGGATGTGTCTTATCCCCAGACCTTTTCTCTCTATATAGTGAAATAAATTTGAGGGAGATTAAAGAGAATGCAGGAGTAAGAGTTGGAGGATACAATATAAACAATTTGTGTTATGCAGATAATAGATTTTATAGCTGAAAATGCAACTGATTTACAACTACAGGATTTTGTGGGGATGGGGAGTGCTAAGAAAGGACTTTCACTGAATATTAAGAAAACGAAAGTAATGGTTATATCAAAGAAGAAGATAATTCCACAGTGTGATGTCTGAATTGAAGGAAAAAAACTAAAAAGTCAATAAATACAAATATATGGGAACAATCATATCATCAGATGGAAAATGTGGGACAGAGATAAAAAGCAGAATAGGTCAAGCGAAAGCTGAATTTCAGAAAATGAAAAATATCTTATGCAATAAACCACTCTCATTTAATGTCAGAAAGAGAGTGTTAAAATGTTACACAGAACCTGTTCTGCTGTGTGGCAACAAATCTCGAAATGTCGGTAAACAAATTAAGAAGAATTTGGAAGCAACAGAGATGTGGTTTCTGAGACTAATGTTACGAATACCTTGGACGCCCAGAAAAAGGGGTGGAGGCAGCCCAAGAGAGATGATGTTGGATGGGCTGAAATGATGACCGTGATCTGTGGATATGCATGTGCACCTACGCCAGTTGGCAGGGCACATGATGATGATGACCAGTCAATTACTTTTTAGAAACTGTGATCACAACTTTCTCGGTCATCCCAAAGTTATTTTGTTAAAATTATCCCATGTGTTCAGATTTTCACAAATACGTTTGGAAAAAAAAACTGGAACAAACACACACAAAATGATAGGTTTCAGTACCTTCAGCACACCCCTGAGAATGGAGCCTCCAGCCACTCCTCCAAGTATATCATCCACCTCACAGCCTGGCTTGTTCACGTCAAACGAGCGAATAACTAAAGAGATCCCAAAACAAATTTGTGAGTGCAAAACAGTAACACTGATGTGCTTATGCTTTAGAAAACATTATTTAACTGACTTGCTTTACCCTAAACAATTTAACTCACTTTAAACTGAATCATCAAGTCCATAAATGCATGAAACTTTTCCAAAGTGCATAATGGCTGAAAACACCAGTTCTGTTTTAGTTAACTATTCTTCTATGGCCTTCTAATTTTTTTTGTTAAACCTGTCACTGCTACAGTTTGATCAAGGTGGCTGATTCAATTACCACTTGATTCAAGTAATCACCCTACACAGTATAACAGCCTGATCCACTGTTCATTTACAGAAGCATTCTTATGTGCTGTTCCTTTCCTCTTACACCCGCATGAACCAGCACTCAAAGCAAAAACTGTTGGCAGCAGTAACCTGCTCAGAGACTCCAAGCACTGTCTCGACAAGATGAAACAACTGCTATCCTTCCCCATCATGTTTTATTCCTATACGACCGACTGGATAAAATGATTCTGTCACTTCTGCAGACTAATCAAGAACCAGTATCCCAGGAGGCAAGAGCACTAACTAGTGCTCTAATGTGACTCACTGGAACTGGGTAAAAGATTTGTTAAGTCACAAAATATGGCTCAAGTAAACCATAAGAGAACATACCAATAAGCCTGGGCTCCGACAAGAAATCTCGGACGGGAACAGGAATACGTTTAATGATGTACTCGCAGATGACATCAATGTTGTATTTGAGCTGAGCAGAAACTGGCACAACTGGGGCCCCTTCAGCGACAGTTCCTGTGTTTAAAAAAAAAGGATTATTAATTATAACGCTGAGAGAGAGAAAAAAAACAGTAACAATATTCACATTTAGGTTGTCAAAATTAGACAAACAAGAAACATCATTTCAACAGATCTGCAGGAAAAAAAATACAGACTGCATGAATTATTTTCTCTTCTCTCCCCCTATACACTTTTTAATTTATATCTGCCACTGGATTGAAATAAATCAACAAGAAACAGAGGCTGACACTTCAACAGAATGTATGCGCACATCATTTTGTCTAGGCATATACAATCACCATCATGTACCATGCTGATAGGCGTAGCCATTCATCTTTAGGTTTATGTTTAAACAGACCAACATCATGGCACAAGGATGGTAACACATAAGTGCTCCGTTCTACTTTTAACTCTACTTTTAACTCAAGCCTGAGTCCAAAGAATCTCAGTGCAGTGCACCAACTCAGTAGCAAACGCGAGGATCCTGACATACTTTGGGTTGATTTTTAACTCCAAATTTTGCCTAGGCAGCGCCGTTAGGCTACGCTTTTCAATTTCCAAAGGAAAGGGATTTTTTAATGCGTGCAACAACCCATGGGCGTCCGATCTTACTACCCAGAGACCAGGGAATATTAGCCCAGCCTTCACCCGGGCCCTCCAGAACTTGATGTGGACGCCTTACCTCTAGACCACACAGCTCCCCATTCATCACTTTACATGACCACCAGTCTTGGATCGCACCTGCTCTTGTACTGATTACGCTATGTGACCAAGCTATCCGGGTTCGACTTCTTTCCTGTTCTTTTTGTCCCTTAAAGCCTGCCAGTTTTCAACTATGTTTAAAAGCTTATTTCTCAAAATGACATCTCCAGCAAATCTTATCATGTCTAACTCCTCTTAAACAATTCATTGCTTTCATCGGTTTCTGCAAGGACTGCATCATTTACCTGTAAGTTTGACGAAATGACCTCAGTGGTCTCAGAAGTTATATTGTGTTTAATAATTTCTTATGTTCAGAGAAGGACAAAGAATTAAAAGCAATAGACACTGAGCCTAAAATAGTTCTAAAACCACTACAAGGGATTTGAGAATTGTTTAAACTGTGTTTTCCCTTCTTAGCCAGACAAAGCAACCTTGCTTTGTGTAATGTTACCTAATACTACTGTAGTTAGAGATTTCCCCTGCCCATGTCATATAATTATCTCCTGCCCAGTCTGTAGAGGCAAGTAAAGGGGGAGATAACTTCGTATCACACCTCAGATTAGCTCCCCTGAATCCCACCATAGTGTCATAAAAAGTTACATAACACAGACTGAGGGGCTCCTTTTGAACAGGATAGATCAGGGGAATTAAGTGGTCCAGTAGACATTTCTAGACAGGCCGGTGTCCAGCGTCTGAAGTTTTCACACCTGATAGTGAAATTCTCAAGAGAACAGATGTTTGGCAATTAGGAATGTTTAATCGTGGTCAAGGTCGTACTGTAGGCCGTTCACTGTGAGTGACAGGCCCATTGATAGCTAGGTTGATCTGCTACGTACCTCAGAGGCGGGGCTTAAGTCATCTCCTTTAGGGTTGGGTAGAACCGAGAAGAGGGTGGAGTTTACCTTGCAGATAGATAGGGGTATTAATAAGAAAAGCCCTGGAATTTCTGTCATAATCGCTGCGACAAGCAACAAACAGGTCGACCTTAGAGGTAATTCTAATGGTTTGATTCTAGTTTGGCGATAGCTGGAAGTTTCCAGGTAAGCATGTACAATTATTTTCAATCTTGTATACATAGGTTAGGGAGTTAGCTAAAATCTATTCTACCTTTTCCTAATTTGTCTACACATTCTGCTTGAAATAGTTCTTTGTGAGTATTCAGTATCTCAGTTAGGGAACTGCTAAACTATTTCTATTTCTCGTATGTTTGTGGCACATGTTTTTCAGTGTATGTTTTCATGTTTATAAAATAAGACTTGTATACTGAAATGTAATGAAATTATAATGTTTCAACCATCAACCAAAACATGAGTTTGGACTGTGGGAAATGATACCCACATAGGCAGCCATGCTGTTACATTTTGTGTGCCCATCATGTGTTCACCTAAACAGGGGATTTATAACCCCAGGGGAAGAATCATGAGTGTATATTATTCAGTGTCACTGAAAGATAATATTCAGGACAGCATGCTCGTATAAAATGTTTGGCGTGTTCAGCACATAACCTGCGCCACATGTTTATGTCAAATCAATGTCAGCAAGTTGGAAGTCTGAGTGATGACGGACAACAGAAAGTCAACTATCATGACAGAACCTTAGAGGGAAGGCAGGATATGTGAGACGTCGATTGTGAGACACAAAGACCTTCAGAATAGACTGGAGAGAATGTGGAATATGAGAAGGAGAGATGAGATATAATGTATTATTGTATATTGTATTAATTGACACATGTATTCTTAGTGTAAGTCAAGATACTACACGTATGTGTTTGTTTCCATTATCAGAGCTCCCAGGTGGGTGAGGATCAGTCTTTTCTACAAAACAGAAATAGAGGGTCATCACGGTCACGAGACTACATTGTGTTAGAACTCGGCCAGCAGGAGAAACAGGTGGGAACCAGGTGGAAGGACCAGGAGAACTGGGCGGAAAGATTGGAACAGCTAAGAAGGGACTCAACACGAGGACTCTCAGAGGTTCCACTTTCTAAAGTTATGTAACATGTATTTATGTAACTAAACACCACCATTATCATTTACTCTTATCTTAGGGGCTCAGTTATCTAGCTGAAGCCTCTCATTATCACCATACCATCACTATCTATTATAACAATAATGATGACTAATGTCATACTCTGATTGCTAGGTTAATAAATCAAATATATGGTCTTATCCTGCATCAGTTTTTGTAATTCCAAATGTGTCTGTTCTTACACGTTTAATTAAACTGTTAAGATAGAATAGCATTTGGTGGGGGCTCATTAAATAATAATAATTCTGTACCAAGAGAAGGTCGACGGATTGGGTCAACTGCCCTGTCTAGTAAATAATTCAAGATAATAATATATATAGACATCTAAAACCCTTTTCCTTCTCTTGTGGATACCAAGTTCAGCTAAAGTTAATATAAATAACGAGCCAATATGGCTGTTTTCTTGGATATCCAGGACTTTGTCTGAGAGCAACATAGCCCGGATAATAGTTCAGTTAATCTGGTGGAGGGGATGTGTTGAGATAAAAATCACTACTTAACATATAAATCATTTAAACCCAAATCCAGAGAACCCACGACCCGGGACGTCACACAAAAAGTGTGGTAATCTCAAAGGGAGTGGGCCGTAACGTCACAGTAAGAGAACCAAATTAGATCCCTAATGATGAAGGTTTTTCTGCCAAGGGCAAACCTCAAGCTCACGATCTCCTGCCCTGCACCGCCCTAGAAACGTGGTAAATACAGGAAGCAACGAGTTTTTAGTTTATGTTTATTCTTTGTACTTGCCGCAGAATTCAGTTCCATTGTCATTAGATGTTTCTCAACATTGCTGCCTGTCAATGTTTCACTTACTTACAACAGTTTACTTTCTATATAGCACTATTGTTTCACAGTAACAGGGTTATTTTTGTTTAAAGAATACATTTTCCATCCTAGAAAATGCTACTTGTTCCTTGGTCAGTATTGTTCTAATCTTTATACAGCACATTCCATCAAAAGTTTTCCACATTTTTACACATATAAAGTGATCAAGCTGTTTGCCTTGCGCTCTTAAAGTCATGTCCATTTCTAGGAATGCAACATCTGGTTCACAGGCGCATTATTATTTTTAATACTGGGCTGCCCCCGGAGCTACAGGGTTAGTATTTATATCTCCGCTCACAGTAGACGACTAGCCACTCTACAGAGAGACTGAGATATTTTGAATAAAATCCAGTACAAAGAAACCGATCCTCTGAACTTTAAGCTGTGAAAATTTCATACACTAAAAATGACCTTTAATGCTCAATCAGGCTTGATAAATGTGCTCATCTGATAAGCAAAGAATCATCTCTCAAACCTCAACACTGATAAAATTGTCAGAAAATGAGAAAGATGAGTTCTACAAACCTTTGACAAAAGCCAGGATCTGCTCGTACTGCTCCTTAGCCTGTGACTCTTTCACAAGATCAATTTTATTCTGAAGTATAAGAATGTGTTTCAGCTTCATGATTTCAACGGCAGCCAAATGTTCTGAAGTCTGAGGCTGGGGGCACGACTCATTACCAGCTGAAAGAAAGAAAACAGCCACAAAAGATCAATAAAAGTGGTGATGCTGTGATTTTGAATACACATTTTAAAGTTAAGGCCACTGTGCAGTTACCTTGTACCTCACCTCAGGAACCCACATTCTTTGTGCTGGTTTTACAGACCTTCATGCAAGACTCCTACCAAAAGTTCACACTGTGCAACACAGATAGTCCTGATTATGTCTGCCTAAACAAGAGATGACAGGGGATATCTGAGCTGATGATGATGCAATGTCTAGCTAGCCTCAGTTACTCATCACTGTAGCCTCAATGGGTGAAAACATCAACAGAGAACGCTGTAAAGTGAGTACAGTCCACCGGCCAAGCCTCCTACTAAATGATAAACACTGGTTTGCATGTCTCTCGACCCAGCCTCACCGTGTAATTGACCCATTGTTAGCAGTGGATATGCTGCAGCCAACCTGCCTTGTGTAGATGGCAATTTTATTTTACTGACATAGCTGCCTGTTTAATCATTGATTCCATCTGACTGCTGCTGAAGTACCATAATGGAAGCAATACTGAAATCTCCGTACTCTAGTGTTCCCAATCCCCTGTGATGTGCATAAGTGCAAGAATACCATCGTCAGTCTGGGGTTTTTGGGTTTCCATAAAAAATGAGTAAAATTTTTTAAAATCTGAATGGTACAAACATTTTATTTTATAACAACTTTTATTTGTGATGAGACCAAAATAAAAATCAAGTACTAACCAATCATAAGCAAGGCAGCATCCATGACAGCTGCTCCGTTCAACATGGTGGCCATGAGAATATCGTGCCCTGGGCAGTCAACAAATGACACATGGCTGAAAGAAATACGTAAGTTGAAACATTGATAATTTAGGTACAACAGTCAAACAGGAGGCTAGAAAAACAAAACACACATTTAATGGCAGGTGCACGTAGTGCTACACTTGTATTTTTAGACCAATCAGAACTTGATGGGTGAAAAGGTCAAATTCATGCCAGAGGCCTTCCAAAGTCAAGAAGGGGCTGTGCTGTCTCTACAATGAAGGCTGGCTGCAATGGATCTCCAACACGCTCCATCTCTTGTCTTCTTTGTACTCTCAGATTTCTGTTCGTCTATCTTGAAATGTTGTTCTCACACTTGAACTGTTGTCTACCTTTTGCCCTCAACCTTTTCCTCCCTTGTGGTTTTTTAAAGCGTATTATGCCTTCTAATGTGGCCAAAGTATTTCAAGTGTCTCTTTTGTGTGTATTTCTTTCAGAAAATTCTCAAGGTACTGGAATATAAGACTAACCTGCATATCAGAGTTGGCATTTGCAAAAGATGTGGCCCTAACTGCTGAATCAGAGGCACATCTTCAATCAAATTTACTTGTCTGGAAAGAAAAACTCAAGAAGAGAAGGATAACCATCAGTATCTCTAAACCTAAAAGATATCAAGATAGTAGAAGAAACATCAGATTATGATGGGACAAGCATTGGAGCAGGTCAGCCAGTTCAAATACTTTAGAGGTGTAATAGATCAGAACAGAGGCATCAAGTCAGAGTTGGCCGCTCGAAAATCAGCAGCTGGGAGACTTTTCCATGCCACAAACTGGAGGCTTCTCAGCAAAACAGAAACCGGCAAGAGGACACAAATGGTTGTGTACAGATCGACATGTACCAGTCCCGACATATGGGTTGGAGTCATGGGGAATGAGAACAGTTCACAGAAGCCAGCTTCAGACCTCAGAAATAAGATATCCGAGAAAGGTCAAAGTGACAAAGTTTGCAATCAGACAATATGTCAAGACCTTGAAAGCCAGGCAAAAAAACTCAAGCTGATCAGTCAGTCACCATAGTTTAGACTTGTATGCAAAATGGAAGAGAATCGACCACCATGTCAGGCCAATAACCAGGCCGACCTAGGTTTCGCTAGGAAGACAGCATCGGGAATACATTTTTTAGTTTAGTCAGACTGCAGTGTAATAATTCTTTGCTATCCTCAAGGTCCCCAGTAACACATGATGAATTAACACTTAGTTTTTCACTATGTAAGTCACTATTACCACATACCGCTTCAGTCTGAATCTTCCATTGCAGCCAGTGCGATCACACACAAATGAGTCCTCCTTGGCACTTCCACATGATCTGTAGCAGTCAGGCCTGGGACAGGCATCATTATCACACTGGTATATCTGTCCAAATATGAAACTTCAAATTATAGTTTTAAAAACCAAGTAATATATTTGTAGGTCTATCATTATTCATTTTAACATATACCAGTGATGGCTAGAGAACTAGTGAAGTCAAGAAATGTCATCTTCTCAGCATTCACTGGCTGTAAACCTGTGTGAAAGTTCTGGTTTTTATCTACTTCTGGACTTTATTTGTGTTCCAGAACTTGATCAGAGCAACTGAATCTCTGCAGTTTCGCACAAAGCATGAACCCCACAGCTTCAGTTCAATATTTAAAACTCAGAGAACTGACCTCGCTGCACAGGATTTTCTCCCACCTGGCTTGGCCTCTCTCTGATGTAAAGCGGTTGTTTGCTGCAGAGTGTCATACAAAGAATAATACTGTACTCCAGTTCTTCATCTTCTTTTTCGCGTTCACCAGCTGTAAACTCCAGAAGACAGTTCTCATTTTGCGTCCACTTCTAGCAGATGCACTCCTACTTTAAAGGAAAAGTTGATCCTGTCTATGCTGGCCAGGTCCTCGTTTGGGGCCCTGTTACTAGTGATGACCACAGAGAGGTATAGACAGGTCTTGACCAGTTTGTGCCTGGTCCTAATAGTACGGTTGTCAACCCCCCAACCTTTGCCCAGATATCTCTGAAACATTTGTACCTACAAATCAAAGGCTCAGAAGGCAAAAGCTTAACTATTTTACCAGAGACACTGTCCCATAATGACATCTCTAAATTTACTGCACTTGCAAACCAAACAACAGTCTACAAATTGACCCACAAAACTGACTGCATGAGGCAAACAGCTTGCCCGTCTCCCCACAAACATAGGTAAATGGATACAATAATGAATATTTCTACGAGGCAGCTGGTTCTACTTCTTCTGCATATGCTAGGCTACAATATGTGTGCCCTTCAGCTATGATATATCTGCCTTTAGGGACAATATATTCTATTTCAGCTAACACCTAGTTAGTCACTGTAAAGAACATGTTTGTTATGAGGACAGTGAGTATATCCCCCCTCCCCCAAGTGGGGCCTCAGGACCCACAGTTGATAACTTGTGTGCATTTAACTCAAGAATAAAATGATGACGATGGTGAAGTGAATGCTTACCTTTGCATTAGCATATCCAAGTTTGATTGTAATGTTTCTCTCCAGCTCATTTTTAAACCTGACAGTCTAAAAAGAAAAAAAATACACACAAGTGAATAAACATAACTCAAAGGTATATATATATATATATATATGTAAAGTGATGCTTTTTATGATGTAAAACTCCTCTCCAGAAATACTAGGTAAACCCATTTACTTAAATATTTTTTTAATGTTTTCTTCTTAGCATTCATTTGCTATAAAACCAGTGGAAAATTCTGGATGGTTCCAGAACTTCAGCTTTGTATGCACGCCGGTTTAATTGATATGGCTTATTTGTATGCAGACTATTGGTTCTTCATCTCTCAAACAGATGCGCTCTGAAGGGGGGAAAACTTAATTAGTCACCTTTCATTACATGCTTGTAAGGAGGACAGTGGGTGTATTCTTCCCTCCTGCCCCCCCCCCCCTTTCCAAAAAAATGGGCCCTAGAGCCCAAACTGCAACATCTGTTCTAAAAGATTATTATTCTAGAACTACTTCTAAATCTACTAGTGTCTTCTCTGCCTCATTAAATAGCATTAAGGCCACCATAGGCAGACTAGCAGCAGATGGGATCACCTGTGAATGCTGTGTGTGTGTCAACAGCAACATGAAGAGAATTTCCCAAGGCCACCCTTCATAATGAAATGTATTTTTTCCTCTAGATGATTAAATAATAACACTGATTACAGATTCTATAGAATCTAATTTGGACATGTTTTGTGACAGAGCTACACAGAGTGAATCCTCCATGTCCAGAAGTGAATCAAGGACAGCTGGACGATTACTGAAAAATATACAGAAGCTGCAGATATGTTTCACAGACGAATAATGACAACAGAGTGGACAAACAAAAACTGTAATGAAAGATGTCTTGAAGAGAACAGATTACTGACGTCCAAAGGAGACAATCTACATTTTTTGGTCATACTGAGAGAAGGGGAAAACTGGGGTGTACTGGGACAGCAGGAAAGCTGGAGAAGAAAAGAGACGGCTATGCCAAGTGAGAAGATGCTGGATCATCTGTCATGGTATGGAGAATCGTCTGTGTATCTAAGTCAGAAATGGCTAAAAGTATACTACATAGAAGGTTGTTGAAAGACACGACTACTAACACCATATGCTGAGGAATATTAAAAAAAACAGCACTATTTCACCATCTAAGTTACAACAGACACAAACAAATGAGAACTGTTTTTTACCTGCACTCCACTGATAGCTTTCACCACTGTCGATTTACCATGTGCCACATGTCCAATTGTACCTAATGTACCCACATACAAAAATATGCAAAGGTTGTTAGTGCTGAACCAATACTAAATTACATACAAAGACAGCAAATAAATCAGAAATGTGATTTAAATCAGAGATACCTCAGTTAAGTGACTATGTGTATTCTTGTTCATACTTGAAGTCTCTCTAGCTGCAACACTCACTCATTGTTTGTGTTATTATGAGGCTGAGTGATTCTTCTTCCCATCCGATTTCCGATTTCTTTTCATAATATAGCAAATAAAATAGTTTGTACACTTAGAAAGAAAACACCTTGTGGTGCCACACCATTTAAGGCATACAATTAAAGAGGAAGAGAAACATAGAGCAGCATCAGCCAGCTCAAGAACAAGATGGAATGATAACAGAGTAACTCTACAACAGTGTGATGACATAACTATGGTTGAGGTGATCAGAAGAATCTTTTACAATCCTTGCCACCAGAAGTAAGTAAAAAGAGAGCGTGAAGAAGTAGAAGAATGTACAAAGATGTGCAGTTATTTAATCTTCACAGTAGTAGTAAATTTTACCCCACCAGGACATCAAACAGAGTGATAAACACTTGCGGAAAGGTCCCATAAACCGCAACCGTATTCAACTGTCAGGCTATATTAAGGTCCCCGGCAAAAGCCAAGTGGGTCTTCAAAATAACGAAAAATTTATTCCCACATGTGGGCGACTGTAGTCAGTTCAATCTTTACAATAATTAGAGGCAGTAAAATGTTATCTATAATATAAAACACAAAATCCACATGTTTTTCGGGAAACTTGCAATTTCCCTAATTCCTCCCAAAAGGATGAGGCGCAGACGGGTTAAAGTTACATGTATCATTTTGGATATGGACTTCAGCATATTTACCGACAATCAATCAAAGTTACATTTTGTTAGAGTTATATTCTTTGCAAACTACTTATGTCATTGCATCCCTTGGTTGTGTATTCAATAAACCACAGGGGCAATCACTCTTAAGTCAATGGCTTGGCACACTGTCGTAATAAGCTGGACCACAGAAACGGATTTGAATACAGATTTTCTTGAGCTCTACCGCATATTAAACATTGTAAGGTATATTTCTGAGCCAAGTACTGCACTAAATTTGGTAAGCACAATAAATTAGAATGAATGTAAATTGCCTTATTTCATCCAGGGCGATGCTGGTAAATTAAATCTATGTTGTCAATAAAATTATATGTTACTACAGTTGACATCTTTGCACTCCCATGCATGCTCAATCCTCTGATGCAGCAGCCATCTAAAAATCTCTCTACTGACTGTTTCCATGAGAAGACGGTTATCTTTCACTTCTTTACCTCAATGATGTGGTTGACCAGACTTCATGCCCAGGTCATGTAGTCAGAGTCTAGTCATTATCACCAGTTTGACTATACAAGTCTTTTACGTGCTTATTTATGCTTGAATTGGTGCATCCACTTTTCATTACTTTTACATTACTTTTAACGCTGGTATGCACAAATGTGTATATCCCAGTCAGGGAGTTGAGGTGCAACTGCATAATGAGATCTACCCATTCAGAGCGGAGATTTACCTGTTGTAATTCTCTGAAGTATGTTCAGAGGCTGAAATTTCCTCCTCTTTCGTTCGCATGAAATAAATTATCTATATCTGCAATGCTGTCTCTAGTATGAATTTCACTGTCTTTTGTAATTCACTAAGCGGCCCGTAAAGTTTGACTTCCACAAGTGTCTCTTTTGGCCAGAAGTTTTGCCTGGAAGCGTTGAATCTGGGACAGTCTTGGAGGATGTGATCTGTTGTTCTCAGGTGCCATTCCACAGGTACATATGGCTGATTGGCCAATCTTAAATTTGTTGTACATGTGGCAGCGAGGTCGATTGTGCCCTGTTCTAAGGCGAAGGATAATGACTTGCTCTGGTCTGTCCATAATATGGTAATCGTCTTGTGCCAGTTTTGGTGGCATTCTGATTGATTTGATCATTCTCTTCTTCTGTTGATAAGAGACTGGTATGTCAGGTTGTTCTTCAGTTGCACCTTCCGTAGCTAGTTTATCAGCTCTTTCGTTTCCGGGAACTCCAGTGAGAAGGTATTCACTGCATTACTAATTTACGGTTGCCTAGTTCGGATAATAGTGTCCGTATGATTGGTAGTTTTCCAGACTGGAGTGCCTGAAGTACAGCTTTTGCATCTGTCAGGAATACCACTGGTTGTGAAAAATACCCTGTATTTAGTAGTTTCTCTACCGCTATCTTGATGGCTTGAACTTCTGCATCATAGTTGTGACAGTTCTTTCCTGTTGTTATTTTGGCTGTATCCCTGGTATTATTAATAGGATACTCAATGTACACTCCTGCGCCTATGTTTCTGACTGCACTTTCTGCTGACCCATCTGTGTAAACACGGACCCAAAGATTATGTGGGTATTCATCATCAAGTAGACTTAGGGTGGCTGTTTTGCGCTGCACACTGTTTTGTTCTTCCTTGTCAAATACTCCTTTCACTTCTGTCTTGATGTGTATTGGAAACTTAAGAGGCTGAAAAGATTTCCTGACTGCTACAAACATTTCTTCTTCCTTTTCTACATTCACCCTTGAAAGAGTGACTGGGATATTATGTTGTGGTTTACAGCTAGGCTGCGATATCTACACGTCTGGTCCGACACATTCCATTTCAAACCCCTAATTAGTTCCCTTTACAACACTCTTGTTAAGGAGCAGTAGGTCTATGTCCGCAACACGGATGTAACAGCCATTAAATCTAGCCACCCCAGGATAGCTTTTACTTTGGTATACAAATACCTAGGAGACTGAACTGTCACCAGTTTCATCCAAAATTCTTAAGTTATGGCCCTTGGCAGTCTCTGGCTTTTTTATTCTTGGGTTGCGTGTGTCTTTTTTATTCGTCTTGGTTTGATTTATGTGTAATGTGGCTTATTGGCTGCTTCGGAGCGTCTGTAAGTGCAACGTGTAATCGTCTGGTTTTGTTTGATTTATGTAATGTGCTTATGAAAGCTCTGTAGCCGCAACGTTCACTTTTCGTTTGTAAAAAGTTTTGATTGTTCATCCACTTCTGGGCTTTGGTCTTGTTTCAGAATTTAAGTTTTTACATGCACATCCATTTTACAGATCTGGCTTATTTGCAAGTAGGCTTTTGCTTACTTACCTTTGAGGCAGATGCAATTCAACTTTGAAGGAAACTTCCCTAATTAGTTGCTTTTTACATAATGCTTGTTAGTGGGGCAGTTGCACTAAACTTTTTTTTAACTCCAACATGCGCCCTGGAACCCACAAAGGAGATAATTACCTCACCATCCATACATGACAATGTCGTTAATAATGCTTCAACAAGATGTACCTTACCAATATTAATGGTAGCCTGCCTGGAGATAACATCTGGCGACAATGGTGTCAGGGACTTGATATCCTGTTTAAACAATAAACAAGTTATTATGCTGAAGTACTTCTTTGGCATTCCCCTTTAATCAGAATGCTACTGGCACCATAAGTATCAGAACTCTTCACTGGCTGTGTTGTGATTTAGAAATAGGCTGAAATTTATTAGTCACCTTTATGACATGGGATTCTTATTTTGTAACAAATTTCCCATAAACAATTTGCGTTTCAATGCGTACGAGTACGTCGTTCAGTGTGTCCTGTTATATTTTTACTTCTTGCATCTACATCTGTAAGTGCAAACCAATATACATATCTAATTCAAAAACATTGCATACGGTAGTAGCAGACAAATACCGACCATTGACAATTTTGAGCGTTTCTGTAGACGATACTAGCAGACGATATTAGCGACCGTTGACCAATTTCGAGACATTACAGGCGATGAAAGCGATTAGCAATACTGTGTTCTTCCGATTGGAGGATTTAGCAGCGGTAGATGTCAGACTTGTCGGCATGAGCAAAACGCAATTAAACTCATCGCCGAGCGTATGGGGGGCTAAACTAGGTGCCTGGGACTCACGAGCAAAGTAATTGGAGGAAGTTGCAGGAGATGTTGTAGCTGCCGTTCGTGAGTCCCAGCCATCTAGTTTAGTCCCCATCCGCGCCGCGCGTAGCAGCCAGGGGGATATGGTCGGCGGTGAGGGCACACTCGCAGAAGCAGGTCCGCAAGTAATGTATCGCCGAGACCCTGTTAGAGCATTTGTTTGTTATGCGGAGCCGGCACATAAATTTTTAATAGAACTGAGCCCCATTCGGATATTTCTTGGCCAGAAATTGGCCAATTTAGCTCTCTTTTTAACGGCATCATATTACGGCCGCCATTGTATGGGGAAGTTCAAAGTAGAGCCCTAATAATAACTAATACTTAGCGACTATAGTTTTGACAATTTGCGGTCTTTTTGGCAATTTCTGTTACCATGGAAACCGTTCTAAACTTGTTTGGGAAATGTCGGCTGAAATTTTGCGATTGGTGTAATTTTCACCAGTATAAATAGCTGAAAACGACAGGAACGAACCCGATTAACATCACATGTCTACGACAGCGGGACGTCCTCTGTTTTTTCTGTTACATCAGTTTGATTGAAAATAGTGGTAAGTATAATTTTTGTATTCAAGGTTGGCTTTAGGCCTTAAAACATTACCAGACATGGTAATGCTAGTTATAATTGAATTCTCCGTCCAATTTTACATTTGTATATACAATTTCTTTCCTATGTATGGCTATTTCGATTTACAGTGACATTTTTCAGGCAATCGCTATTATGTGGCTGTGTCTGAGAAAAATTGTCTGCCATCTTGTTCAATGAAAACAAAGCCAAAACGAAAGTGCGCAGTTTGGTTGCGCAGAGAAAACTTCTTGTTTCTGAGACGCAAGTTTTCAACAGCTGTTTTTTACATCTCATCTCCACAAAAACCTACATATCTCAGCTAAGAAATGACATACAAGCGTAAATTAGGTACCGTTGGAAAGAGATTGTTTACAGCTATCTAACTGTGCTGGTTTTATTGGTGTAGAGGGCATTTTAAAAATTTGACTAAAGTATCTAACTAATACTAATTGAA